TATTAATATCCGTATAATCAATCAACAAATCCACTGAGAATTAAGGGTTTATTTTGTGCCAGGTACTGTCCTAGGTGCTAGGGATACAAAAACAAAGAATTAAACAAATTTTGACCTCATGGTATCCAGAGATGTAGAGAAAGACCTCCACTCCCCACTCCTAGCTCGTTGGATGTACACTTTTCCCATGGAAACTTTAGGAGTATAACAGACAAAGGTCATACTAGGTGTCAATCTGCCATCCTTGGAGGTGGCTAAATAACACAATATCTAGAGCATTGGACCTAGAATCTGAAAAAATGTGAATTCAAATCCAGCCTCAGACACTTACTGTGTGTCCCTGGGCAAAGTCACTTAATCTCTGTCTGCCTCAGTTTCCACTTCTATAAAATGGGGAATGATAATAACAGCACCTACTTCCTAGGGTTGTTGTGAGAATAAGATGAGATGATATTTGCACAATATACACTATAATATTTGTACAATATGTAAGGATTATACTCTTTAAATTCAGTCCTAGACTGAATACTAAGTGGGCAAAGTCTGAATTACATTCTAATACTTGGCCAGAATAGAATTTGTCAGGTCAGCCAAATACTCTGTCAAATACACCATTTTGTTGGCTTATATTTCTCTTCCAATTTAAGGATTTAGCTCCTAGAAAATATTTGTTTGAAACTAATCCAAATAATTTGAGCTTCACATGGAAAATCATTTTTTCTAATAAATGACAAAGTCTCTAAATAAAGAATGAGATTTCTTCATATAAGAATCTTTTTCGAGAATTCTGACAACACTAAATTTTGAAATCTGATGAATTATTAATGTGGCACATATTAAATTGGTAGGATTTGGATAAGATTTCTTGTCCTAGAAAAGGAAGACAGGGGAGCCCTGTGCCATTTCTTATGCCATCTTAGACTAATTTAGTTATCATCAGAATTTAAAAAGGAGATGCTAGAACAAGGCCTCAGCTGGAAATTAAATCTTGAAGTAAACAAATCCATATCCTGGAACCCAGGATACTTGCATCTTTTCAATTACATCTTTCCAGTAACCTTCAAATGCTTGCTCTTTTGGCCTTTCTATTTTTCATTCACTGGGGACACTGGGTTTGAGTAAGGGAGAGCTCTGCAAAGTTGTCAGCCTCGACCTCTCCTCCAGAGTCATGAAAATCTAGTGCTAAGACAAAAGTCAAGATTACTGATGATTGCCCAGAATGCAGTAGGTCACCTTGGCCTTTCTAAATAAAGGTCTTTCCCAGGTCTCAGTTTGTCTGAGGCAATGCTTATTCAATGAATAAGGGCTAGGCAGGAATTGAGACAAAAGATGGCCCAATTTACCATCACAAAAATATCAGTCTGGAAGGAAGAACCCACAGAGTTTCTGGTCAGAACAGAAAACAATTCCTCCTTCCTTATATTCTAAAATCAAAACACCTTTATTGGTGTTTTCATGCAATATTGTGTGTCCAGATGTGACCATCCAGCTCTTCCTACCCTGAAATCATCCCTGAAGTCAGACTTGTACCAAATGATTTGTGTACTGTCCTTTGGAAAAATAATTAGCACGTAGCAGCTATGTCCTTTGACACAGAAATGTGTCAGTTAAGAACAATTCTACAAGTTGTAAACAAATAACATGGAGGTCAATTTCTTTTACAGGCTGTTCCCACCTTCCAGTATGGGAGAGATACCTTCATCCTTTCTATGCCTATCTACTAGGAGAGCTTAATTGTTATTTAAATTACATAGTAAATTAGTGGAACTATTGAAGTTAATGGATAAAGTGTCCCTTCAGATATGTAATCTATGGGTTCATTTCAGTGTTAAAGCATATGTTTATGTCACATAGCATTTTAAGCTTGCAAGTGTTTAATATTCACAGATTCATAAGCAAAAAGAAGGAAGAAACCTCAGAGATCACGTTGTACTGATTCCTTATTTTACAGATGAGGAAACCCACAGAGACCCAAATAGGCGGAAGGACTTTTGTCCAAAGTCACCCAGCTGATTAATGACAAAGCTAGAACATTATCTCAATTCATCCTAATCACCACCATAAAAAGTAACACAAGTATTATTATCCTTATTTTAAATATCCCCAAAACAAAGTTTTGAATTCTAAATTCAAAGTCTTCAGACTCCAAATCCAGGGCTTTTTTTTTCTCAAGATGGCATATTGTCTCTCATCTGCAGCTATCTTCCCACAGTGCAGACTATGAAGACTAACAAAAGGGAACTTGGAGCTTGAGACACATAAAAAGTTTGAGAGACATAGTTTCTGGGTAATCATTTTATTAATCATGCTAGTGGATAATTAATAAAAGGGGTCAGTGGCATGCTTGAATGCCAAAGACCCCTCATGGAACCCACTCAACCTTTATTTGTCCTTGGAAAAGTGGGTGATCCTGAGAGTGGAAATCAACGCTGATTGGTTAACAATGACAGAATGAATATTATAATGAGAGATGGGCTCATTCTGAGGGTTTGGGGGACATGACTCTGTTCACTCAGTCTTGGTCAAAAAAACTTATATATGCCCATATCACCCTGTCTAGGGCAATCTAGATAAAAGGGGGAATCCATTTTCATCTACACCTGTCTGACTAAAACACAATGGGCTGGACTCTATCAATTCACCTAAACTAAAATTTCTTTACCTTTTGAACAGATCTGAGTTTTCCCAGTGGGGTGGGTCTACCCAAAATTTTATCTCTTTATCAGCCCTTCCTTCAAAGGCTGCGTGAATAGCCTACAGAGAATGAGTAAATAGAAGGGGGGAGAAACCTTAATCCTAATTCAATAATTGGTTATTAATATGAAAGGAATAATCATTTCTCTCAAGCCAAATAAAATATATTCTTCCTGGTGGAGCCCATTAGAATATAAGCTATTTGCGAATAGGGTTTGGTTCATTTATTTTATTTGTATACTCAAGGCCTAGCATAGTGTGTGGCAGTCATTTAATAAATGCTTATTGATTAATTGCTTGGAAGACAAATTTGAAACACAAAAGCAGAGCAAGTAAATTTTTGTTATCATCCATTTTATGCAGATATTTGTATCACAGAATTGAAAATATTCATTTTTTTAACTAGACTAGACAATTAGTTGCTATATTAATTACATGAAGCTAAAGCTGATATTAGTAGTTTCAACCTTTTTTTCCTCCTTTTAGATCAAAACTACTTTGCCCTCAGCTAGAGCTGGGCAAATAAAGAAAGGTTAGGCATGAGTTGATAATAGTTGATTTGAAACAGAAAGAAGTAGGATTGCCAGTTCATTGGGACAGCAGGATGATGCAACAGGGGTTCATGGGATCTTGGGCTGCTTCCTACCATAGTTTCCAGGAGAGTCAGAGCTTCCAGGAATAGAGAAGTGATGAGTCCACTGACCTCTGTCCTTGTCAGATCTCCTCTGAAGTATTGTGCCCAGTGTCTACAAGCCATAGTTTAAGAAGGATATTGATACCCTAGAGAATGTCTAGTTGATGGCAACTAGGATGCTGAAGGGCCTTGACTACATACCATATGAGGATAGGTTGAAAGAACTGGATATGTTTAGTCTGGAGAAGAGAAGGCTCAGGAAAGATATGATGGTTGCCTCTCCCTTCCAAGTTTCCTTGTTATTGTCAATGACACCACCATCATCTCAGTCATGACGGCAGACTTACAACCTTGATGTCATCCTCAACTTCTCCCTTTCCCTCATCATGCACACTCAAATCCTTTGCCAAATCCTGTCCTGTCTTCACAACCTTTCCAATATACCCCACTAACAATTCAGGCCTTCATTACCTCTGCAACAGTCTTCAAACTGGTCTCCCTGTCTCAAGTCTCTCCCCACTTCAATATACCCTCCACTCAGCTACAAAGGTGGCTGTTTTTAAGCACAGGTCCAACCATGTCACTCCCATGCTCAATGAGCACCAGTGGTTGGTTTCCTGTTGCCTCCAGAATCAAGTATAAACTTCTTCTATTTAGCATTTAAAGCTCATTATAACTTGGCCCCTTTCTATCTTTCCAGTCTTCTTACACTTCCCCACTCTCTTAGAGGTAGTTAAGTGGTGCAATTCCTGGAATCACGAAAACTTTTTCCTGAGTTCAAATCTGACCTCCCTGAGACTTAATAGCTGTGTGTTTCTGCACAAGTCACTTAACCCTCTTTGCCTCAGTTTCCTCATCTATAAAATCAGTTGGAGAAGGAAACATCAAATAACTCTAGTATCTCTGCCAGAAAAACTCCAAATGGGATCTCAAAGTCAGACAAAACTGAGATTAATTGGGATGGGCAAAAGTGGAAGTGGGGAAGTAATGAAGATAGAATTCACTCATCCCCACCTAAATGTAGAGCCTGGGGAAATTATTTGAAGGGAAGGGCTAGCTAGAATGGAATAAAAAAAGATCTTGTCCTGAAGCTTCATTTTTCTGTGCTGTAATGCTGTGACTCAGCATAACGAATAAAGGCTAAAATTTTATTGATTAGTCCTAGGCATGCTAGCAGAGAGGTCTCATAAAACAGCTATCTAATAACACCTTTGAGAAAGAAGTCCCAGCAGCCAACCCCCTCAGCCCACTCACCACACAAAAAAACCCTGAGACGTCAAAAGTTTCAAGGGGAAAAAACAAACAAAAAAAACCCTCAGCAGCAGATGACCACTCTTTAAAGAAGCAATGAATATTGAGCTACATAAGAAGAGTGCCTGAAACATGAGAAGTGATGCATCTAGGAACATGAATTGTCCAAGGAAATCAATCAATAAACATTTAAGTACTTGCCATGTGCCAGGGATTTAATTACGGGGGGGGGGGGGGGGGGAGATACGAGAAGAAGCAAAAGATAGTCCTTCCCCTCAAGGAATTTACAATTTAATACATCCAAACATATATAAAGTAAACAATATTACAGGATAGGTAGGAAATAATTAGCAGAGGGAAAGCACTAGACTTGAGAGGGATGACAGACCACTTTCTATAGAAGACTAGATTACACTCTAGAATACTTAAGAGATTTATTACTTTCGGATAACTCATAATTGTTTTTCAGTAAGACTGAAGCTTTTTAATACATTTCAGGTCTAACATTGCACAGGAACTTAGATAGAGTGCCCTGCAGGGAAGGTTAATGTCTGTTCGACTGAATCAAAATGGGCCGATAATAAGGTATCTACTCCTGTAATGGAAGCTTAACTGGAATCAAACTGCAGGCTTTCTTCAAGCCATTACAATAATTGAAAAAGGAAAGATCTCTGATTTATTCTAAATTCACTCAAGAAAATTCCACTATTCATATCGTTTAAATAATCCTTTTGCAAAATTCCGTGGACAGTATGTATTTGACCACAACAGGAGCAGGCAACCGACCACTCACTATTGGAAAATACTGTCACGTGGGAGAGAAAGGCTCCAGCCAAGCAAAGGTTAAATTCCCGGGAGAGGGGAGCTGACGCCAGACGCAAACGCGCTGATGTATTACGCAAAAGAAGGAAATACTTAGCGCGCTCTTTGCTCAGCTTCGAGTTCCCCAGCCGGAAGTATCCGGTTGGAAAACGTGGCTGCTGGAGACAAAGAGACCGGGGTAATTTGGTTCCGGCCCAGATGGCCTGCCAGTAGGAACTCCGCGGTTAGGAAGAAGGGTCGGTGGACGCCGGCGGGGAGGTTTGTCCTTCCTTCTTGGCCGCCGCTGCCATGATACCGATTCCTCTGGTGGTGCTGGTGATGGGGGGTTGGTGCGCCATTTACCTAGCCGACACCTTGCTGAAGGTGAGGGCCCCGGCCCCTCCCCCTCCTGGTTCTCATCTCGAGGATCCTGAAGCTCAGGCTACGAGGGGAACTGAGCGGGGCGGGGGGAGCGTCCTGCCCCCTTCTTCCTCCCCCGGAATCCTCCCTTCTCCCTCTGAGTCCTCCTCTTCTTCCCCAATAGTACTCCCTACTTCCTCCAGTCCTGCTCCCTTCTTCCTTCCTCCTCCTCCCTAGTATTCCTCCCTTTTCCTCCTCCTCTTCCTTGGCCATCCTCCCACCTCCTTCCTCTCTCCCAATCCTTCCCTCTCCTTCATCCCAGTCCTGCCCTTTCTCTCCTCCCTCTCGGTCCTCCTTTTCAGTCCTCCCTCCTCCTCCCTAGTGGTCCTCCCTTTTCCTCCTCCTTCTCTTCCTTGGCAGTCCTCCCACGTTTTTCCTACTCCTGTTCCCTCCTCCTTCCTTTCTCCCAATCCTTCCCTCCCCTTCATCCCAGTCTTGCCCTTTCCCTCCTCCCTCTCACTCCTCCCTTCCAGTCCTCCGTTCTCTCTCCCTCTTCTCAGCACGTGGGCTCACTTCTTGTCCCTGGCTGGGAATTCTTGTAACCTTGTCCCACTGGGGGAGGAAAGAAGGGGTACCCTGCAGGGTGTGGGTCAAGCTCTATGGTTTGGTTTTGTTTATTTGTGTTTTTAAGATATGTTCTTGCTAATTCTACTTCTTAGTTGTGTAATGATTTTGACCAGTCCATTTTACTTTCTCCCCTGGGTGGCACAGTGGGTAAAGGTGATTGGACTTAGAGTCAGAAAGATCTGAATTCAAATTCTACCTCAAGACACTTAAGATAGCTATGCAAACCCTGGACATAAGCAACTATACACCTCTCAGCCTCAGTTTCTCCATCTGTGAAATGAAGATAATAGCTAACATTTCTGTAGCACTTTCTATGTACCCAGGCACTGTGCTAAGAGGTTTACAATTATTTCAGTTAATCCTTCTAACCATCCTGGGAGGTGGGTGCTATTATTATCGCCACTTTGCACATTGGGGAAACTGAACCCAACAGAAGTTAAATGACTTGCCTAGTCTCTCACCGCTAGCAACTACTTCATGAGGTTGTTGTAAGGATCAAGTGAATTAACATGTAAAGTGCTTTGCAAACCTTAAAGCACCTATATAAATCTTAGGTTTTATTATTATTTTATTTTATGCCTGTAGTAACATTATTCAGGCAGCTAGGTGGCTCAGTGGATAGAGCCCCAGCCTTGGAGTCAGGAGGACCTGAGTTCAAATGTGGCCTCAGACACTTGATATTTACTAGCTGTGTGACCCTGGGCAAGTTACATAACCCCATTGCCTAGTAAAAAAAAAAAAACCATTATTCTGAGAAAGGATCCATAGGCTTCACCAAACGATCAAGAGGCTCAGAGGTGGCAGTGGCACATGGCTAGTTAGTGGCAAAGCCAAAAGCCAAGTTTCTTAGCTTCTAGTCTGTTTTTTTTTTCTCTGCCATGTCAGCTCCCTTCCTCAGTCCTCTAACAATGAGGGAAGAGAATTAAATCCCAATCAGAATAAAAAATTCCGTAAATAATCATGATTGTAGATTTAGAGATGTAAAAGACCTCAGAGGACCTCTAGTCCTCTTCTCTTGTTTTATTGAGGAGGAAACTGAGGCAGACAGTTTAAGCAGTTTGTTTGAGTTCACACAGGTAGTATCACTGGTGAGATTTAAACCAGGAAGCAGAGTCAGCACTCTTTACACACTATCAGTTTTTAAATGGAATATGATCATTTGTTATTTGGCCACATTAATAATAATGAAGTAGAAGATTGGTACAGTAGAAAGAGCCCTGGCTTTAGAGTAAAAGGGCCTGGGTTTAAATCCCGTCTCTTTCTATTTTACTACCTGTGTGACCGCAGGGAAGTTTCCTCACTCCTCTGGATCTCGGTTCCTTCTCTGTAAAATGAGAAGGTTGCTCTGGATGGCTTCTCCAGTCCCTCACCACTCTAACTATGACCAGCAGCTAACAACCTCACTGTGGTTACAGATTTAAAAAAAAATGCAGCATCTTTCTTTCAAATGCCATAAAATGGTCAGAACACTGGACTTAGGGTTACAAGCTCTGTGTTTAAGTCCTAGTACTTCCTAATTGAATATTAACAATGCACTTTAGCTTTCTGTAACTTAGTTCCTTTCATCTCTAAACAGGTATGATAACATTTATATTCCCCCCCATCACAGAGTTATTGTGAGAAAAATCTAAACCTTAAAGTGTTCAAGTAAATTATTATTGAGTGCTTCTTAAGCTTTTTTAAAGAGCCACAGATGCAATCATTAGTTGAATCACTTTTGCTTTGGAATGTGTCAGTACAATGCAGTGCATTGGAAAGAATGCTGGATTGGAGTCAGAGGACTTCTGTGTTCAGTTTGCTCAGTTATAAAACGAGAGGATTGGACTAGGTCAGGGGTGGGGAACCTGCAGCCTGGAGGCCAGGTGGGGCCATTTAGGTTCTTAAGTGTGGCTCTTTGACTGAATCCAAACTTCTCAGAACAAATTCCCTTAATAAAAGGATTTGTTCTGTGAAGTATGGACTCAGTCAATAGGCCACACCCAAGGACCTAGAAAGCCACATGTGGCCTTGAGGCCACAAGTTCCCCATGCCTGTGATATCTCAGGCCGCTTCTAGCCCCAAATCTATTATCCTAATCTGTAGGTTATCTGCAGGAAATGATCTATTTGATTTTCGTAAATATCTTTAAAAGTCAGCCTTCAAAATCACATGATCACTTCTTTCTCCTAGGCATCAGATTCTTTGAAGACTTCTTATGAAGAATGGCTGACATCTTATGGATTGAGCATCTCCCCTTTTCACATACGATGGCAAACCCCTGTCTTCAATCGTCTCTTTTACGATTGGGGACGTTGGAAACCCAGGCTGCTTTACCAGTGGTATTCTTTGTGTGCTGTTTTTGGCTTTAATTGATGACAGGGACAATTATATTAATTTGTTACTCAGGTTAACACTAACATTTGTTAACCTCACAATTTTGTAATTACTACAATATGATAATTTAAAGGCAAAATACCCCAATCAGCAATGTAGTACAAGGTCATACACATAACAGTACTAAACTCTTGTATATTCATTACATTCAGGTGTATATGTACACATGCATTGCCTCTGTTCAGTAAAACAAGTGAGATGTATGTGTAAATAAATGAAATAATTACAAGAATGAGGAGAATATATTGTTTGCATTAAATGCCAAGCACTATTATAATTATTCTTTGTGCCTAAATTATAAGAGTTAAGTAAACTTGTCAGTTTGTTTTTCAACAAAACATTTTTTGGGTATATTATTTAGCAGATTGATCAGTTTCTCCAATTTCAGTAGACATGTCTGAGGTTGATACAATAGAGACATGGCTATATTTCCTTTAATTGTCATTATTTAGAGTTAGTAAGTAAATATATGAACCTAGTGATATTTGAGGTGTGAAGTACTGCATATTAATCTGAATTTCATCTTGACAGGTTCAATTTAGGAATGGTCTTTGGAATAATTGCCATGTTCAGTTCTATTCTCCTTCTTGGAAATACCCTGATACAAACTTTGTCACAGATGTTGACTGAAGTCCCTTCAGCTCAGAATGATAGGATGCTACAAGTTGTGGTCAGTGGCTTTTGTTTTCCTTTTTCTCCTTACTTTCTTGAAATGTATAAAGAAAATGTTTCCCACAGCTGCTTTTCACTGCTAATCCTCCAAAGACAGATGTGAAAATAGATTAGAAGTCTCATGACTTTTCCAAATACTGTGACTTGGCTGAAATATGTGTAGATCTCTTTTTGAAAATAAAAGAAATTAATGTGAAAATTTATAGATTTAATAGACATAATGAAAGATTAATAAAGACTAATAGTAAGTCAGTAATAGTAATAATTTTAGGTTAATAAAGATAAGAATATTAGAAAGATTACACACTTACATTTTTGTGCAAGATTGCTGCAAAGGGTAGTTTTCTTTTACTCTTCAGACCTACCAATAAGTTGAGTTAATACTTTGGAGAAAACACATTTCATTCATGTTGCTGTTTGGGGGCGACCAGGTAGTGCAGTGGGTAGAGCACCAGCCCTGGAGTCAGGAGGACTTGAGTTCAAATCCAGCCTCAGATACTTGACACTTACTGGCTGTGTGACTCTGGGTAAGTCACTTAACCCCCATTGTCTAGCCAAAATAAAAAAAAATTTAAAAATAAATATTTTTTTTAAAAAAAGATTATCTTTGAAAGTAGTATGGTAAAGGGACAGCAGGGCTAGCTTCAAATCACATGGGAAGTTGCAGTTTCATTCTTTTTAAATTAAACACCTTTCCAGTTCTTAGAGTACAGTTAAATTGTATGAATTAATGCCCTTTTTATTCATAGTAAAATGCTTTTCTGAGCAAACATTGTCACTTATGTATTAGGATCTCTCAGTGACATCTACTCATACTTCTCTAATGCTTGAAGATTTGTAAAACACTTTTCTTGAAGTGGCCCTTTGAAAGTAGATACTGCAAATTAGGTATGTAAGTTTTTTCTCCTCCATTTTACAGATGAGGAGATTGAGGCATAGAGAGTGAAGTTACTCTTCCATACAATTATTAAGTGTCAGAGCTATGGCTTGAATTCTGGGCTTCTGAGACTAAGACCAGTACAATTTGAGCTCTTTCTGAGGTCACATTCTGTCTCTTTAAAGTATCTGTTTTTACATTTATGGATCGTGTAAAAAGTAGCAGTGATGCAGCTTTACATTTCTCTTGAGTAAATAGCCTCTTCCCTGTTGACTTTGCTGGTGTCAGTTGATTTTATTAGAAATGTTTACATTTGTCATCTCAATTTCAGTTATGGATGTTGTCTTACTGCTAACACATTAACTCAAAAATGTCTTTAATTTTTAGTAGCAAGTCTTTTTTTTTTTAAAGTAGCAACTTGATCCTAGTCTTAAATTGTTACTTACAGTCACTAGTAGGCTTGTTATTTACAGTCACTAGTAGTGGTGAGGATAGGCTTAGAAATTAGTTGCGGAGAAAAAAAAATTAGCTGCAGAAAATGAAGTGAACAGAACTAATAGATCATTGTACACAGTAACAGCAATATTGTAATGATAATCAAGTGTGAAAAACTTAGCTACTCTGATCAATAAAATGATCCAAGATAATTCCAAAGGAATCATGCTGAAAAATGCTATCTCCCTCCAGAGAAATTGCTGGTGATCTCTGAATGCAAATGCTTGCTTTTTTTTTTTTCTGATATGGATCATATGGAAATATGTTTTACATGTTTTCACATGTATAATTGCTATATTGCGTGTCTTCTCAGTTTTGAGGGGGGGAAGGGCAGAGAAAGAGAATTTGGAACTCATATTTTTTTAAAAAGAATGTTAAAAATAAATAATGATTAAAATTTTTTAAAAATTAGTTGTAGAGAACTACAGAGAATTGGTCATATAATAGTAGCATCTAGTCTGTGGCTCATCTGAATTAGGGGGTCCAGGAAAGATAGTTGATCTCTCCTTATCTTTGTGACTAGAGTGGCAAAATATCATTCATGTAAAGAACAAGTTATTTCCAAGGTTGGCCTCTCACTTTATTGAGCCTATTAAAGCATTTCATTGTATTATCAGAGCTATATTTGGGCAACTCTAGGCTGCCCTGAGATTCCCATGTATTTTTATTTTTTATGTACATGTTTAAGTGTCATCTGCAGAATTAGATTGAAATTCTGAAGCTACAGGAACATGTTTTCTACTTATTCTCTAATGCCCTGTGGAATTAGTCTAGTATTGTTAGTAAACAAGAATTTGGGACTCTGAGTGGTTTAGAGGTCAGTATTCTAGTACAGCTAATTCCTAGTGGGCTCCTGGCATGGACAGAACATAGCAAGGGTCAGATCAGGTGCTGGTCAGCTCAATATTATGACCAGCCAACTGTTGTTTTCATATTGTCACAAGTGTATGCTTATCTCTCAGAAAAAGAAAATATGGCCTAGTTGGTCACTATTGCTTTATTTCATATAACAGGATAAGGTTGGCTAATTTGTAATATAGAGAGAAAGTCTGAGAAAAAACATGCATCTTCCCACCTTCCTTTACCCCATGTACCCAATGTCCTGATGCTGCTTCAAACTTCCTACTGTAGCATCCTGCCTAAACTTCCCTGAGCCTTTTATTCTCTGAAATTATCTTCTTTTCCATCTTGCCAATCAACTCCCGTTCTCTAGACATATTTAATCTTAGCCAGGTGCTAGTATTAAAGAAATTTAATTGAACTAATTTATAGTGATAAGTGAATGACTGATAGAGCCCTTTAATCCTCCCATGGGTATTAACATGTCTAAAACAGGATGGCTCAGCATCAGGAAAATGATACACACAGTGACACAGGGACTCTTACAGTGTCAGTAGAAAGAACAACAACAATAAGCTGCACCTTTTGTGCCGTGGCAGAGGGCCAGAGCTTGGCTGTACTCTTCAGTAGCTGTGTGACCTTGGACAAGTAACTTAATCTGGTTGAGCGCTAATTCCTCCCCATTTAATCAAGAGGCTGGATTAAATGATCTTTGCTGTCCTCATCAGCTCTAGTGCTGTAATCCTAAATATAATGACCAAGCTTGGCCCAAAGAGGAGATAAGAAGGGGGACTATGGGTGTAGAATATTACATAACCTGACAGGTGAGGTTGATGTGTTGACTAGTTTTTCTGAACTGCCTTTTTCCCCCCTTAATTTTTTGTTTCAGGGAATGGATTAGTAGGTAGGGAGTGGGGAGGAGGGGTGGGGTGGGGGATGTGCAGTTCATCCCAAAAGTCTTAGTGCAATTTCAAGTTCTTAAAGCTTTTTTAAATCACCTTCACTTATCACTTTTTATGTTGGGTTTTTTTAAATGTCACCTTCATTTCCAAATATTTTAAGCTTTAATAACTTAAAACTGCACCAAGACTTTTGAGACAACTTGTATTTTGAAATGGAGGTGATATAATAAAAGATATATCACTATAATTCTTTTAATATAATTTATAAAAAGAATCTCCTAGAAAGAAGGGGAGGTACCAACTTCATTTTTGCTCTGGACCACTCTCAGATCATGAGGTAGCTCAAGTATTAGATAACCTAACAGATATGACATGACTTTTTACTGCTCACCCTTCTGACTGGCCAGATAAAGAAAAAGGATTACCAGTACATGTATTACGGAAAAATGACCTTAGTACTTTATATCTTTCTTTTTTTTTTTGGTGAGGCAGTGGGGTTAAGTAACTTGCCCAGGGTCACACAGCTAGTAAGTGTCAAATGTCTGAGGCTGGATTTGAACTCAGGTCCTCCTGACTCCAAGCTCTATCCACTGCTCCACCTAGCTGTCCCCCTTTATATCTTTTTTAAAAAATATATTAGCTACTTTATTTGTAACAGCAAAAAACTAGAAATAACCTATGTGCCCAACAACTAAAGAATGACTGAATGAATTATGGAATATTCATAGAATACTAAGATACGGAGCTATGAATGAGTGATAAGAATATGAAGTATCCAAGAAGATAGGGAATGATGTATGTGAAGTGAGATCAGAACTTTATACACATTAATTTCCCTCCCCCCTCACTAGACGCACACGTGTTGTGTCCTTCAGTTAGAGAAGTTCTTGAGTACAGGTGCTGTTTCTTTTTTGTCATTATAACCATAGTCTCTGGCACATAGTAGGCACCTCAAAAGTGCCTTGAGGCCTAGAACTATTTTTTATTTGTCTTTATGTTCCCAGGGCTTAGCACTGCCTGACATATAGTAAGCTCTCAATAAATGCTTATTGATTGATTTTGTGTCTATTTCACTGTTTCTTTTTAGCTTATAATACAGTTTTTAAAAATAAAGTAAAATTTATGGTAGAAATTAAAAATTGAGCCATTTCTTTTCATGCCTATTTTAGCTATATGGAATATTCACAAGAGCCACGACAATATAACAACAACAATAATAATAATAATAATAATAGGAAGCCAAAGTAGGAGCAACTTAAAATAATCTGGGCTTTTGTTTTGTTTTGTTTTTGTTAAATCACTTGGTACACTACTATGTGTTTTGTTGTTTGCTTGAACAGGTTCCTGGTGTAAATTTACCTGTCAGCCAACTCACCTATTTCTTTACTGCTATCCTTATTAGTGGTGTCATTCATGAAATTGGCCATGGGGTGGCAGCTATCCGGTAATGTAATCAGACTTTTTCTCTTCTATTTGATGTTACAAAGCTTTTAAAAGAAGTGTTGTTTCAAAGTTAACTTCTTAGTTTGACATCTAAATAATTTTTAAATGGAAAATCCAATTTACAGTCCTTTGTTGCATTTTAAATTTGTCCTTTTACAGAATGGTATCTTATTTAAGGTAGCTAGATCTAATTCTGCAACAAAATTTGGCAGTCCCTTTTACTTTGTCTTTCATGCAGATTATCTTCAGTTATTTATACTAATGGCAAGAACAAAAATTGAGAACTTTTTGAAGAAGGACATTTTAGTAAAAGTTTAAATTGGTGTGTAAAAGCTTAGTGTTATATTAGTTCTTGATTTATGAATTGAAGCAACATTACTAAATTCTTATTCCTTTTTCTGTTTCTTAGAGAACAAGTTCGATTTAATGGATTTGGAATTTTTATCTTCATTGTTTATCCTGGAGCATTTGTTGATCTGTTCACTACCCATTTGCAACTTATATCTCCAGTCCAGCAGCTAAGAATATTCTGCGCAGGTGATTTGAAATTTTCCTTTAAGTATCAACTTTGTGAGTTCACTTTGTATCTATCCCTTACAGCATCACAAATGAAGACATCATGTCTGTCAGAATTTGTTTCTCAGTGATTGTCTATATTATGTAGCAGATTGTCTATATCATGTAGCTGTTAATGGGAAAGTAAGAAGACTGAAGATTAGTTGAACTTAAAAAAATAAACTATTCATTTCTGCCAATATTTGATTAGGCTTTTGATGAATTGATTTTCATGTACATTGAAATGCCCTTAGAAAGTATTCTATGAAAAGGAAAGTATTCTATGTTGCAATATATGCTTACTTGCCAAGGTTACTTGTCATTTTGGATGTATAGATTAGAAATCTAGAGACTTAAATGGATATTTTGGATTGTAAAGTATTTTAGCTATTCATGTCTGCCACACCTCTCAAGCATTTTCATATCATCATGCTAACTTTGGTTTTTAGTTTATTAATAATAATAATGATGATGATATTGGATTGTGAGTTCTTTGAAGTCAGGGACTCTCTTTTGTCTCTTTTTGTCTCCCTAGTGCTTAGCAAGTGCCTAATAGTGGCACTGTGAATTAGCAGAAGGCACTTAATAAATGTTTATTAATTGAATGAATGAATGATATAATGATGATGATTGATAGATAGATAGCATTTATATAGTGCTTTAAGGTTTGCAGAGTACTTTACAAATATTATCTTTTATCTTCACAACAGCCCTGCAAGGTAGGTGCTATTGTTATTCCTGCTTTACAGATGAGGAGACCTTTGCGGACAAGTTGAATGACTTGCCCAAAATCTTACGGCTAGTAAATGTTTGAGGCTGGAATTAAACTCGGGTCTTCCTGACTTCAGGTCCAGACAGCTGCCCCTCATGTGTGAGTTTATGCTAAAAGCAATTCACTTGGCAGTGGAGTAACTAAGAAGTAAATGTTTCAATATATAGATATTATGCAAAGTGTACTTTCAGTTGGCTTATTCTAAATATTACTTCTGTCCCTCCAGTCTGCACATTTGTGTGTGTGTGTGTGTGTGTGTGTGTGTGTGTGTGTGTGTGTGTGTGTGTATTTAAATGTGAAGAGCATCGTAGTATAATAGATAGAATGCTGAGGAGTCAGAAAGGCTTGGGGTCAAATCCTGCCTCTGGCACATACTAGCTTTGTGACCATAGGGAAGTCACTTAACCTCACCATATCCCTGGCAGTTGTCGAAGACTATAATTATGTAAATTAAAGTTGCTGATCTGTATTAGCAGAGTGAGTTTCTATATTAGGAATTACAGGTCTGGACAACATAAAGAAACCTAAATCCCTTGTTGATTTCTAAATTACCATAAGGTTTTATAACTAAGGAGCTCTCAAATTTGCTCCAGGGTTAAAGGGATGTATGTTATCACTTATTGCAACAGCCTCCTAGTTGGACCTCCTGTGTCAGGTCTCTCACCACTCCAGGCCATCTCACAGGCTGCTACCAAAGTAATTTTCCTTAAGCACAGATCTAACCATGTGACTTCCATACTTAGCCAATTCTATTAGATTCCTGTGCCTCTAGAATAAAATAAAAATTTCTCTTTTTAATTTTTAAAGCCCTCCTCAACCTAGCCCCAGCCTACATTTCCAGCCTCATTGGACTTTACTCCTTCTCGCTCACTGTGTAATCCAGCCAAACTGGCCTTCATTCTGTGTCCCATATAACACTCTCCTCTCCTCCATGCTTTTGCATTTGCCATCCTCCATGCCTTGAATACATTCCTTCCTTGCCTCTTCCTCCTAGCATCTCTGGCTTCCTTTAAGATGCAGTTCAGATGCAGCCTTCTGTGTGAAGCTTTTCCTGATTGCCCCATTTGCTAGTGCCCTCCCTCGTATTTACTCCCAAACGAAATTGTGTTTAATTTTGCCTATATAGATGTTAACATCTATGTGCACAGAATAGTAATGTATATGCATATATAAACTTTATATTTGTGTGTACATATATATTATATATGCATGTGTATACATATATTTTTATACACATACATGCTTGTGTGTGTGTGTGTGTGTGTGTGTATGTATGTATGTGTATGTACTTATCTGCTTTGTTAAAATATAAGCTCATTGCAAGGGGGGACTGTTTTATTCCTTGTATTTGTATCCCCAGCACCTAGCATAATGCCTGGCATGTACTTAATAAATATTTGTTGGTTAGTTGATTGATCAATTCCTTTCTCTTGGGAAGTTAGTGAGGATTTTTTGAGTACAAGAAAAGAAATTTGAAGAGATATTGGTGTACCTTGGGAAGGTGGGAGGTATACTGTGTAAAGAAAGACTGCCTAACTTTACTTGTCTCCTAATAAGTTAGACACTTCTCCTGCATTGCTACATCTTCTTCCCTCTGTGAGATTTAGAAATCACATCTCCAGCATAGGCAGTCTGTGCACTAGAGATTCTTCTTCATTTCTAGTGAGAATACTTAAGGGAAGATTATGCACCAGTATAATTTTGGGAAAAGAAAGGGTAGCCTTGATTCAATAAAGCTTCAGCATCAACATTGCTTCTCAAAGAAAATGTCTTAAAAGTTCTGTTGTACATATCAGATGTAGTATAGTTCATCCAGGTATGGTACATAATTGGACTTTTATATAAAGCAGCATGTTCCATTATCTGACTCAGATTTAAGATTTTTGTTTTTAAGATATTTTTATAAGTTTTAAAAATGTATTTTTATAGATATTCTTAAGATTTTTACAGACAGTCCTGTAAATTATGCAGAATTGATTAGAAATCATATGCTAGATTTGTTCTGTATTTTAGATATGCTTTGCTACTATTTTTGTGCATACACATATGTATATGCATATACATTGAATTTCTATGTTTTAGCTGTGACTGGTACTGGGGAAAAGTGAAAACTATCAGTTAAATCAGTTAATCACTAAGCTATTTTCATTCAAATATTTGGAAGCATTATTTAGATGAGGGCATTCTTTGTGAAACTGATGCCAATCTGAATCCCTTTTGCTGTAGTTTAAATATACTTTGGTTTAAATGTCCTTAACCTTATTTTATTGATAGACTGGATCCAATTTCCTTTCCTCTTCCTCCTCCCTCTGTCCCCACCCACTCCTCATAAGCAGAAAGCTATGAACCCCTTATCAGAATAAAATAAAATACATTGGGTGACACAGGAAACTCAATTATATTGAAATAGAGTTATCAGAATATATATATTTTTTAAAGTTCAAAGACCCTGGATAAGAACTTCTGCTATAGCGATATATTCTTTTGTTATTGAGTCATTTCAGTCATGTCCAACTCTCCATGACCCCATGTTGGGAGTTTTCTTGCTAAAGTTACTAGAATGGTTTGTCATTTCTTTTTCCAACTCATTTTACAGATGAGGAACTCAAGTAAGCAGGGTTAAGTGACTTGCCCAGAGTCACACAGCTAATAAGTGTCTGAGGTTAGATTTGAACTCAGGTCTTACTAACTCGAGGCCTGGCACTCTATCCACTGTGCCACTTAGCTATCCCAATGTATTCTTATAAATATATTTTTAAAATGAAATTTTGCTATAGTATCATTAAGCATTCCTAGTTGTTATCTTGTCCTTTTTACCAAAAGGCAAAGTTCTTAGGATGGTGATATAACATATGCTTCTTTAGGAACATATATTTCCAGTATTTCTTATTTATCCTACTGTAATAGTCAGCTAAGTGGTGCGGTGGGTAGAGTGCTATGCCTGGAAAGTCAGGAAGACCCAAGAGCAGATCCAGCCTCGGACATTTACTACTTGGGGTACACTGGGCAAGTCACTTAACCTTTGTGTTTGCCTCAGTTTCCTCACCTGTAAAATGAGTATCATACTAGCATCTACCTCTCAGAATTATGAGAATCAAATGAGATATTTGTAAAGCATTTGCCCTCTTCAAGAACCTTCTATGGTTCCCCATTGGCTGTAGAATAGAATGTAAAGTATTAAACATGTAAGTCTGATATTTAAGGCTCTCCATTATAGAATCCCACTCTTAACTATTTAATGTTATCTGCCTCTACTTTCCAATATGAGTCCTCTGCTCCAGACAAACTCTTCTGTTGAAAAACAAAACTAGCAAACTATGGCCCCATCCAAGCCAAGGGCATCTCTTAAACATCCTAAAGGCAGAGCCCCTTCTGTATCACTAGGGCTTGGGATAGTTTTTCAGTGGTTCAACCCCAAGAATTGTCAGACTCTGCTTCTGGCAACTTGCTCCAGCCCTGTCCACTTTAATCCAGCACGTGTTTAAGTCAAATACGTAGTTAATTTAATTACAGTTTGAGAGAATTTAGGGAATATTGACTATATATTTGAAGGACATCAAAAGTAATCAAGTCTCTGTGTTCCTAGGAAATTAATGATTGATTTGGTTTTTTGGGAGAAGGAGGTAGTTTTTTAAATATTTATTGATAGCTTTTATTTTTACATCTATATTTCCCAATATATTCCTCTCCCTACCTCTCCCAGGGAGCTATCTCTTATAACAAGGAAGAAAAAAGGACAGGAAAAAAAAACTCCAGCAAAACTAAGCAACACCTCAGCCAGATCTTATTTTATATCGAGTGTTCTGTAACCATAGTGTTCGACCTCTGCAAGAAAGGGAGGGAGATGCATTCCTGTATCTTTTCTTGAGAGTCAATCTTGGTCGTTATAATTTTACAGCATTCTTTTTAAAGTTTTATTGATACCTTTTGTTTTTACATTGCCTAAATTCCTCTAGGACTTTATTTTTTAACATTCTTGTCTATTTTGGGGGGGCAGGGGGCAAGGGAATCAGGGTTAAGTGACTTGCCCAGGGTCACGCAGCTAGTATCAAGTATCTGAGGCCAAATTTGAATTCAGGTCCTCCTGATTCCAGGGCCAGTGCTCTATCTACTGCACTAACTAGCTGCCCCTTGTCTCTTATTTCTTGCTATTATTTCATGTCTTTCTGGTGACTTCCCTTAGACTTTTTATGTTAAATCCTTCATCCTAGGTTCTCTATCATTGTCTATCGTGGTTATTTTTTTTTTTTAATTTTCTCTAGGGTTTTCAAAATTCTTCCTCTTGCTCATCTTATCATCTTTTCTCAAACAAGTCTTTGACATCTATAGTTTCCATTTCCTCACTCTATTTGGTAATCCCTTCCAATCTGCCTCCATTACTTTATAAGAATTATTCTCAACAAAAGTCATCTATGACTTTCTAATTTATATATCCATTAGATTTTTCTCAGTCTCCATCTTCAACTACTCTAATATTTGATATGTTTAACCATGTAAATGTTATTTAAAAGTTTTGATTTGTACCAGCAATTATTTTCTCTGGTAGTTCTTTTATAGTTAGTTTAATTTCCTTTTCTGAGATTGAATTATTTAACATCTCTATTTAATGTTCTGTTCATTTGAATGTTTTGTATTTTTGTAGGTAATTGATTTCTTTTAAACGCTCAGGTTTCTTAGCAAGTAGCTATAGGGTAGGTTCTAACCATTCTCTTTTTTTTTTCTTCTAAATTTGATGTGATTTCACCCTGTTCATTTATTTGTTGCTTTGATTTTCTTCCCTCTATTTAATCTACATTGGTTAAAGGTTTATCAGTTGTGTTAGTCTTTTCAAATAACCAGCATTTACTTTTGTTTATCAGTTCTATAATTCTTTCAGTTATCTCTTATAATATCTAAGATATTCTCTTTTATGTTCAATTTCAGTTTGTTAGCTTAATATATACCTTTAAAAATAGACTAAGTTGTAAGTAATAGATACACACTTCCATGAACAGTTCTGTTCTTCGGTTTTTCTTTGTATGTGGAAGCATTGCTGTTTGACACTATGTGTCATGCTCATAATTAATTTTTTTTTTTAATGTTTGCTTTACAAACATAACATTCTCTATCTTTACATTTACTGTTACTCCCACATGAGAAGGACCTCTTTCCCTTGATTTTTAACAGTTGGAATTCTGATCATCCTTCGAGGCTCAACTTATTTGCCATCTCCATGAAGTCGAGCAGCTAGGTGGTGCCGAAGCTAGAGCACTGACCTGGAATCAAGAAGACCTGAATTTAAATCTGATGTCAGATGCTTACTAGCTGTATGACCCTGGGCAAGTCACTTCACCCTCTTTGCCTCAGTTTCATCATCTGTAAAATGAGCTGGAGAAGGAAATGGCAAACCGCTCCAGTATCTTTACCAAAAAAATCCCAAATGGAATCACAAAGAATCAGACAGGACTGAAAACAATTCAACATCAACCACAAAGTTTTCTCTGATCCCAACAACCAATTATTCCCTCATCTTTTTTGAACCATCACAGGACTTATATTTATTTGTGTATTTGTTGTATCTTATAAGATTCTTAAGGACAGGAACTTGTGTGTTCTACCATGGTGACTTTTTTAATTAGCTGCGGCCCAGTGGAAACCACCTGGGCCAGTTTCTCATTTGCCCCACCTACACTTAATACTCCACTGCCCTTTTTGGTACTGGCAGATGTTAGGGAAATGCATTGCAGTGGGCATTTGTTCCCAGAGGAACAGTTATAACTGAACTTTAGTTTACTACCCCTCCAAATTTTACCCCTCCTTACATTTTAATATAAAACGACCCTGAACTAAAACTAAGGAACTCAATGCACAGTATTAGAAACTTTGTGAAATAGAGTATCATATTGCTAAGTTGTAGATTTTTAAAGAGTTATAAGCTAGCTGAAATACAGACATACAGAATTTTATGAATTTAGTTGAACAAGAAAAGATTAAAAAGTTTCAGTTTGTGGGATGACTAGCAGATCTACAAAATGAAGAGGGGAAATTAAGGGATCTCTAAGGATCTTTGTACCACTACATCCTTTAATCCTGTAAAATAAAATTGCACAAATAAGTTGTTGGGTTGTTTTTTTTTTTAATTTGTACTTTAGAAACATAGTGAACAGAGAACTTAACTTGGGGCCAGGAAGACCCAAGTTTGAATCCTGTCTGTCACATACTAGTTATAGCACCCTAAAGAAGTCACTCAGCCTTCTCTCAGAATCAGTGGGGATAATAATAGCACCCCTCTCACAACTATGTTTTGAAGATCAGATGAGATAATGAATGTGAAGTGCTTCACAAACTTTAAAGTACCATTTACATGTTAATTATTTTAAAATACATATATGATCTATCTAAGTAAACAAGCAAATTGATGGGTTTAGCAGATTCTGGTGCTTGATGTATTTTTTCCAAATTTGGGCCTAAAATATTGCCGTAGTTTATAACTTTCAAACATCTTCGTTGGACATACATGTTGTTGCTATTCGGTCATTTCAATCATTTCCAGTTCTTCATGACTCCATTTGGGATTTTCTTGGCAAAGTATGATTTTACCATTTCCTTCTCCAGCTCATTTTAGAGATGAGGAAACTGAGGCAAACAGGGTCAAGTAACTTGCCCAGGATTACACAGCTAGTAAATGTCTTGAGGCCAGATTTGAACTCAGGTCTTCCTGTCTCCGGGCCTGGCTCTCTATCCACTGTGCCATCTACACATCCTGTTTTTCTCACAAGTTTTATATTTCTATCCAGAGTACCTTGGTTAAAAATGAATTCACTATCTAGATTCCTTTGGACTTAAATCCATTTCAGGGAGTAAAATGAAGATGACATTTCATTAAGATGTTAACATGAGATGATAAATTGGCATTCTTCTATTTAAATAGCTTTTGTAAATGTGTCAAGGAGTTCATTTCAGTTGTCACAAGTATGCTTAAGTTAATTATGTGTAATATTTATGTTTATCAAATTCATAATAGTAAAAAGGGAAATTTTAGAAAATTGATATGAACATTTTTGGAAAAATTAGTTTTTAATTGAATCATTTAGTTGAAAAAAATTATGAAGTCTATTTTAGCTAAAACTATGGCAATTTACCTTCTCTGTTAGGCGATCAGGAGATTGATCAGCTTCTCAAAATTGTTTCACTTGTAATAACTTGAATAAAGTAATTAAGGTGTCTCTTAAGATTGTCTACATTTTGCTGCTGTTTGCACTTATTCATAGATGTTACCCACTTTTTAGGTGTCTGGCACAATTTTGTACTTGGAGTTTTAAGTCTTGTGGCTCTCTTTCTGCTACCTGTAATTCTTTTCCCATTTTACTACACTGGAGTTGGGGCCCTTGTTCTGGATGTCACTGAGGTAAGACAATTCAGGCTGATCGTTTGGTTAGCAGCAGCAATGCCAGCAAAGATTCTATCAATTCTTATGTGGTATAATATTCTTTAATGTGAACAGTAATTGTCCATATGTCCTTATATGCAGAAGACTCAGTTGTGTTCAAGAGAAATTACTCCATGCTTCATAGTTCTAGCAAATTATGCTATGAAGAACACCAGATTTGTTTAAAAGACAGACTTAGAAGGTGACAGAATCCATCAAAGGTAGAATGTGGTGCATGTTATTTGTTGATGAACATAGATGGTTTCTCTTTGTTTAAATTTGTAGCTGAACTTTTCAAATGTGATGATTCTTAAGGAATAAAGAAATTGAGCTGAAGCTTGTTTTCTAGTAGAGTTAGTGGGAGGGCAAGTTAATTCCCTAAGTTCAAAAAATACTGTGAGTGCTATATAGAGGATTTTTTTAGATTCTGGATGGAAGAAAACAATAATTTCCGGGCAGAGATAATGATCAGTGAATCATGGAAAGTTTTAGTTAGAAGGAAAAATCTTAAAATTTATATCTATTGAGAAATGTTAAATTAAGAGTTTTAAAACAGTTGTCCTTTCGTAAAAGGTTTTAATGTCAATGCTCATTGTAGAAGAATGTGTACAAGATGTAGTTAGATAAAGCTTTTCAGCTTACTGCTACACCATATTAAATATGCTTGATGTTGCTGAAAGCTTCTAACTTTGATTTAAATAAAATAATGTCATTCTTTGATTCAAATTCACTGTAGCAAGTAAATTGACTCACTTTTTTAAAAAGTACTGTATATTTAGGGTAATTATAAATTGGCTTAAAATGGCGTAAAGTGAAGATACTTTAAGGATTGTTTCCAACTTGTTTTTCTCTCCTCCCCCACCCCCCCATTCTTATTTTCAAGGATTCACCTGCTAATGGACCCAGAGGCCTCTTTGTGGGAGACTTAGTCACCCAGCTCCAGGACTGTTCAGTTCATAAAGTGGAAGATTGGAATTCCTGTCTGGGGATCATCTCACAGGAGCCACAGATTGGTTACTGTATAAGTTCAGCAACTTTGCAACAGTTAAGCTTCCCAGCCAGAGGTATGTGTATGCTGACTATAATAAAACCTGTAATACTGAGTAGTCACTTTTACTTAGAACACATAATTTCCTTATGGTTTCTTTGTTCAAAGATAGATTTCTGAAAGTACAGTGGCAATGTACTAAAAAATACTAGTGGTTATTCTCCCTGCTACATTGGATGCTGACATCCAAGTTTCCTTTCTCATAAATCCCTTTTAACTTTCTATCCAGTTTTCCTACTTAATTCTTAAATCTCAAGATTACTAAAGTTAATTCTCTATACTTTCAAAAGTATGTTTGTACAGTCAGCAGTGATAAGAAAGCTCAGAACTGGAGTAAAAAAGTTGGACTTCATATTAGTTCTGTCAGAAATGTATCAAAACTTAGATAATTATTATCTTAAGGCCTAAAAGTATAAAAGGTGGCTATGCAGAGAGTAGCAATCAATTATTTTTATAGTTCTTCTCAACTTGGAAAAGCCTTTTCATAAGCTTTATCTTACTGAAGTTTTAAACAACTTTATGATCTTGGCAAAGCAGGTATTTTGCCCCTATTTTACAGGCTCAGATGTTTTCTTATATAGGTAATAAGTGCAAAACCAGGGAATCAAATCCTGGTCTTCTGACTCACAGACTTTATCCACTGTGTCACTATGTCTGCTGGTTGTAAGAGCACACACATGCACAGATGGGTAGTAGGTTCAACTGTGTCCAGACATATATATTGCTCTGATTTTTTTGTTTTGTTTTCTTCTTTCTTGTTTTTTTCATTTTGTTTTGTTTTGTTTTTACTTGGCAGTTAGAGTTAAGTGACTTGCCTAGGGTCACCCAGCTAGTAAGTGTCAAGTATCTGTGGCCAGATTTGAACTCAGGTCCTCTTGACTCCAGGGCTGGTGCTCTATCTACTGTGCCACCTAGCTGCCCCTATTGGTCTGATTCTTAGGATAGCACAGTTATTGTGTAGCTCTGCTGCCCTTAGGATCCAAGGACAGGCAGAGTCCTTGATGAACACACAAGGCTGACTTTGAGTTTCATCAGCCCCACAGATTCACCGGACCTTTTTTGTTACTGTTGTTGCTTTTTTGGTGAGGCAGTCAGGGTTAAGTGACTTGCCCAGGGTAACACAGCTAGTAAGCATCAAATGTCTGAGGTTGGATTTGAATTCAGTTCCTCCTGACTCCAAGGCTGGAGCTTTATCCACTGCACCACCTAGCTGCCCCAGGTTCACCAGACTTAAACATTTCCCTCTTGTACCTTAAAAGCTGAAGGAGCCCACTTACCTAATGGCTGAGGCTGTAGAGTTTAGAACACAGGTTGTATCTTTGTTGCTAGAAAGAAGTATTCTGGATTGATGTTTATATCCCTCTTAAGACAAAAGAAATTTGGAGTGGAGTATTAATAAAGGTTGGTGATTTGGATGGTATAGTTAAAATCTCAGTGGCCATGGAATCCAAAAACTGGAGTTCCAGCCTATGTCTGCCATAACTAGTTGTGTGACCCTGGATTAATCCCTTAACTTCTCTGAACCTCAGTATGCACATCTTTAAAGTGGTGTAATACCTTTCTTGTTAACCTACAAGATGGTTGTGAGAATCGGATCAGAAAGCATATAATTAAAAGCATTTTATAAAATTTAAGTCTTATAGATATGTATTAAGTATTAATAATAATAAGTATTAAGTAATATCTTAAGTATTATAGATAAAAGATTAGGTGATACTATATATACAGCTTATATATAAGCTTATGCTTATATATATATATGTATGTATATATATAGCTTATGCAAAGCATGGTGAAATGGTGAATACTTAGTTTAAAAAAAATTCTTGATTACAAAGATACTAAGATAATAAGGATGTTCCTCCTTATACCTTCTGTAGGCAGTAAGGTAATAATACAGTTCTTTAAGGTTGATATTTTTATACATTTTTCTTAATCTAGAGTAGATTCAAGGGTGACCAAAAAGGACACTGTATTTTTTAGCAGTTTAAGTAACTGAAGACTATTAAGGGGGTAGCTAGGTGGCTCTGTACATAGAGTACCAGCCCTGAAGTCAGGAGGACCTGAGTTCAAATCCAGATTCAGATCAGACACTTACTAGCTGTGTGACCTTAGGCAAGTCACTTACCCCCAATTGCCTTTAAAAAAAAAAAGACTATCAAGCTGTCCTTTTGCCTGATATGTCGATAACTAGATAAATAACTCTAGTTGTGTTAAGCTTTGCTCAGAACTTTTGTTTTCAGTTCTGTGTCATTTTCTGTGCTTTCCTGTGATTCATTTCCATCTTAAACTGTGAAATCTCAAGTGACTTATTAATCTAGTAAGAAACTTGACCAACTCTGAATTTAATGAGAAGTTTTGTAAGGGTGCCTGCACTGCCAAATGCAACAAAGCTCTTTACTTATCAGATAGAATCCAGGTAAGAATTTTCTCAGAAATCTTTCTAAATTTGTTACTTATTGCTTTCATGGTTCAAATGCTTTTTGATTGGTATTTCTAAGCAGTCAAAAATGATTACTAATCTTGCCATGCTGGTATAAAACTTTAAAAAATCATAGAATTGAAATCAAAATATATTTCTGTAGCCTTCATTTCAGCTACTTATGGATGACAGTGGCATAATGGCCTGAACACTAGACTAGAACTTGGAAACATTAGCGTTTTAATACCAGCTCCATTACTGTGTTATGTGGTAGCTAATAAACCTTTGTCTCAGTTTAAGCCTCTATTTTTTGGAATGAGGGTAATTAGTTCGTTTATAGAAGTATTGTCTATTCATTTAGGACCTATAAATGGCTTTAAAATTATATTCTAAAATAAAATTTGTATGCCAAATGGGTAGGCAGTAAGGTAATAAACAAGTCCCATGTAGCATTGTATTTACGTTTGGTTAAAAGTGGATTTTCTGCCCTTTCAGTAAAATAAATTATAGTCATTTCCTAGTGTGAATAAAGGTGAAAAAATGGAGGCCCTGGTCATCTCAAAGCCATTTATATTAAATATAGGATAACCTTTTTTATTTTCATTTCAATTTTGGCACATAGAATTGAGAGGAGGATTTGTCACAATATTTCCACTCATTAAGCTACTGTAGGAATGATTTCCCTGTTTTGCCTACCTTATTTGATCCTTCTTCTTGTCTCTTTCTTTCCCATACCCACCCTCATTTCTTTGTGTTAGTATATTGGGATTGGATGGCATCATTTCTTAGTGTGACACCAGTCTAAACTCTGGCCTTCCCTAGGTAGGTAAAGGAAGTAATTAACTGCGCCATAGGTTGCTTAAGACACGAGTTCAGGGAGGGAGAAGAAGAAAGTTTGGAACTCAAAATCTTATGGAAGTGAATGTTGAAAACCAAAAATAAATTAATTAATATTTTTTAAAAAGACACCAGTTCAAATAGAGAATAAGAGAGCTGTATTGAACAGCCAGAGGGTACTTGGTTAAACTAAAAGGCATTTGTAGTGAGAACTTGAAAGTGAAATTTCTCATAGATAAACCCAGATGTAAAATAATCTGCCTAACGATACATTTTGTTAAAATTACTAGAACCAATTTCTTACTATCTTAATCTTCAGTCACTTCCTTAATTTAGGTTAAATATCACACCATTCTTAACTATTGCCATCCCTTACCCATTAAAGAACAGAATAATCCTGGACAACCCTTGGAGTTGGGGGAAAGATAATACTGGGTGTGGGAGGATCCTCCTTGGTCTTGAATTTATCAATGTTAGAGTAGACTTTGGGAAAATTGAGTTTCTGGAAGGGCAACTCAAAGGGTTAAGTCTATAAGTATTGTCTGTTCTTGGGTTTGTTTTTGTAATCCAGACCTGTGACTTCATTGATATATGGAAATCCTAGTAAGGAAATTCAACTCATACCAATGCAAATCTTCACCTCTGCAATTTAGCCTTAGAGATTTGTTTGGAATACTGAGGGTTAAGTGATTTGCCCAGGGTCATAGTGCCGGTCTCTGTAAGAGACTTGAATCCATATCTTTTTAACTCTACAGCCAGCTGTTTATCCACTTCTCTCACACTGCCTCTCAGCAGTTGTATATAACAGGCACAAGAGTAGACTAAAATTCCCAGTGTGGCTCTGGAACTAAAAATTCCTCAGAGGGACTTGTCTATAGCTGTTGTTCATCAGAGCAGGCAGAGGCAAACTCTTCTCCCGAGCTCAGCATCCAGATCCAAATTCCTGGATCTACTGGTTAGTTGGCAAGACCCTTCTTAGCATTGTCTTGCTGGTACATATCTCTACTTAGTGTTTTGAATAGGGATGAAAGTTGATGCTATTCTGGTTCTTAGTTGATTGGTTTGTTGGTTTGGTTTTTTTTACCTTGAAGGTAGTTCACATTCTCCCTCTTTTTCATTGTTTCAAAGGCATTGCATTTCATATGTTCATGGAGCTTAAATTCCTTTTTTCTTTTTTGAAAGCATTGTGTTGGCTAAGAGGCAACATATTCAGCAAATCCAGCCCTCGATGAACCTACTATTTTAAGGAGAATGGGATTGAATACTAAAGGAGAAAATTGAGATCCCTAAGTGAAGCTATGAGTCAGAATCTCATGTATCCCACTTGGACAACCTTAATACCCATCTAAAGGAGGTGAGGGCACCCTTGGCATATGCCCTTAGTGGGATGGGATAGGACTATTATATTGTCCACTTTAATCTTTACCAAAGGAAGTAATATAGTAAGAACCATCCTAACTTAACTTTAGAGACTAATAAAACCAAAACTCCTTGGACCCTTGTATCCCCACCTCATAAGAGTACTAGGTTGTTCCTGTATCCAAATTTTCTCTATTATATGGAATCTAGAGAGCATCTCAGTGCATAATAAAATTAGAGTCATTTGGGGGTAGGAAAGTCTCAATAATATATGTCCCAGATTGATTGATACTTGATTTAGTTTGTGTACAAATGTGTAGTATAATTGCTGTTTCTTAAAAGCTTTTACATTTGGGGATCTCAAATGACTTGTCTGTAAGCAATATTTATTAGACTGTCTAACATGGATTTGAGCACACTTCAGCTAACATTGGCTTGCCTTTGCACCTCCATTCATCTGCATTTCTTTAGTACTCTACATAAATGCATATTGTTTTTGTTCCTTGGAAATCTTGTTACATGTGCCCTTGGTTGAATAAGGCAGCAGTGGTGGTACTTAGTTCCTGTTATTTAAGACAGTGGTCCCACACTATATAGATTGGTATTTATTTTCTTCAGTACCCCCTGGACCAATCATCTCTGAAGAATCAGTCACAAGCAGCTTCAGGAGCGCAGGAGCTCTCTGGTCACTAAGTCAAAGTAGACTCAAGGGTATATTTGAGCTAAGAATACTGAAATTTACCCTAGAGTAGAATTCTGGGCCTGATTAGTTGTGAGTTTTTCAAGTAAGATGGCTCAGATTAAATTATGATTTCCAGCATCAGACTAGATGGAAGAATATCTTTAAAGCCTATCTCAATCCCATTCTAATTTTTACCTCCTGAGCCAGAATTAGACTTACTTTCCATTCATTTCATTAAGTACTTATTAAGCACCTGCCATGTGCAGGGAACTGTGCTATATGCTTGGAATACATAGACAAGAATGAAGCAGTATCTGCCCTCAAGCAGCTTATAGTCTCTAAAATTCTTAAGAATGAAGTGATATGAGCTGGAATATGCAGGGACCACATGTTTGCCACCTCTATTTTAGAAGTTTAAAATTAAGGCACAATAATTTCAGCTAAGTAACTCGGTTTTTGTGCTGCCAACCAGAAGATCCAAATTTTAAAATCAATCATATTCATGATTCCCAATCCAGCACTTGTACTTAGTAGGAGATTCAGTATTTTACTTTTGTGATATATCTGCATATTTCTTTATCTGTATCTATATATCTATATGCACACACACACATACGTACGTACATACATACAGAGAGAGAGAGAGAGAAAGAATATAGAGGCCACACAGTCATACTCAGTGTTTTTAGTTATGTAATCTTTTTAAAGAAACACATTAGTGAAAAATGCCAGATGACACCAGTTACAATTACTATTCATTATTAAACTAGAAAATTTGTTTAGGTCTTAAGTACAGGTATGCTAATACTTAGTAAACTCCAGTGGATCCTTATTGCCTCTAGGAATAATGATAAACTCCTCTGGCTTTTAAAAACACTTACAGTCTGTCCCCAGCTTATTTTTCTAGACTTATTACACATTACTTCCATTCCTGTAATCTCCAGTCTAGCCAAACTGGTTTTCTTGCTATTTCTCCCACACAGAACTCTTACCTTCTCTATCAGTACCTTTGCACTGGTCATTCTCTATGCCTAGACTGATTTCCTTCTTCACCTTCACCTTATAGAATTCCTTATTTCCTTCAAAATTCATCTCAAGCATTACCTTCTGCATGAAGCCTTTCTTGATCATCCCCTACAAGTTCCCTTTCTTCCTAAACAAACTTGTGGGTTTTTTTGTGTATTCACATATTTATACAAGCTGTCTCCCTCAGTAGAATGTATGTTTCTGGAGAGCATAAACCATTTCATTTTTTCTTTGTATCCTCAGCATCTAGCACAGAGTCTAGAAAATAATAAATACTTGGTAAATTCTTGAAAATTGATTGGTATTTGATGATTGAGTGGTAGATAAAATAAGACAAATAATTGTAAGCATGGTATATACTAGAGATGTATATGCCAGTAGATGATTAGGAGTTTGCAGTAAGAATTTCAAGTATGTAAACATCTTCAAATTCCATTCAAGTCCTACTCAAATGCTTTATTTCATTTTAGTGTAAAAGTTTTTAAAGGTTATTCTAGCATGGTATACATTCTCGCAGGCCCTCTCAAGCTGGAAAGGCCTTGAGTCCTGTCCTGGGATGGTCTCTAGGCCTTTTGTCTGAGAACCAGACTAATTAGGGTTACAGAGTTTGGTGGCCAGCAGGTTGGACACTCATTCTTTTTTCTTTTTTTTATCCATAACAACCCACGACAATAAAATCGTGGGTCCTAGAGGGATTTTAAGCATTCTCAAATACTTATTTTTCTAGCCATTAATAAAAAAATAACCATATCTTAACAGCCAAAACAAAGTGGAAATTTAAAGCAACTGTTGGCATACTTTGAAAATTTGAACACGATTTACCTAAATTATCCCAATAATTACCTGTATTTTGTACCTTGTTTTCATTATTTAGAAATAGCTAACTTGTGTAGATAGGGAAGGCTGGAAAAATGTCTTCCCAAAATGGTCTGTTTAAAGTGTGTTTGTGTGAGTCTGTGCACACATGTACAAGCATACCTGGATGTGTACCTTTCAACAAGATCAAATGGACTAAGTCTTAAATCATTTACATTTCTGGTTTAATTAAAATATTATTAATTCAGATTAATAAGACTACATATTCAAGAATAAAGCTGTTTTTGTAAGTGCTGGGCTTAGCCTTCTTATCAGTATAAAAATCCAGTAGGTCTTCAATCCAGGACTTCTTCAATATCATTAACAGATGTTTTATGTAAGCATTTCTTGTCATGAAAATTTTAACTCTTCTGCTGTGCCCAGCTCTTATACTTAAAACCTCTGCAACCTTGGACCTCAGATTCTTCATCATTAATTGAAGTGGTTGGGGTCTCTTCTAGTCATTTTACATAATCATATGTCACATTTACTGGTATAGCATACATAATACTTTCTAGCTCTTTTATATATGTATGTTTGGATATCATTTATTAACGTCTAACACACATAAATAAAAGAGCTGGAAAGGACCTTAAGAATAATCTTCAACAATCTCATTTTTTTGATGAAAAAAGTAACATCAAAGGTTATGGAGATTGTAAGTATCCTAGCTGAGCACACTGGAGAGCTCAAAATTTTCATGCAATGCCAAGGATTGTTGAAGTAAAGCATTTGTTAATGATATTAAAAAAATTCTTGAATTGTATCAATTTTAGGCTGATATTAAAGCTGTACCACAATCTTAAGCATTATACATATAAAAGATATAACTTTCTTCTTGAAATATAGTCTTAACTGTCTGAGTATATTAATTTTTAGTTAAATCAGAAATTCTAATTTGTCCTTTATGTCTAATACATTTGAAATTTTAAACATTTAAAGTCAGTGAAGAAGACCAGGAATGATGAAGTGAAATCAACCTTTTCCCCATGTGGACCAGCAAGTTAGCTTCTTTATCCTGCCCCAAATGGAAGTGATGTCTACTTGTATTCTACCAAAGAACATTTGAAAAAAAAAATCCATGGACATAAACAGTCTCCCCATCAGCACTGCATTCTAAAAATGGCGACAAAGACCTTCTACATAAATAGCAGCAGACAGTCCAGTTTGGTCACAGTAGGCCCCTTTGAGAAAGTTCCCAAGGTGAGTGGATTTATAGTGGCCAGCATCACAGGATCTAAGAATTGCAAGAGACTTTAGAACCCATTTAGTCCAAACTGTACCTGACTAAGAAAGAATCCTCTCTCTGACAGATTTGACAACTGGTCATCCAACTTTTGCTTGTAGACCTATAGTTAGGGGGCCCCACTGCTTCCTAGGGCAGCTTTTTCTACTTTTGGACTGCACCGTTAGAAGTTTTTCCTGACATGAAACCTAAACCTGCCTCTTTGCAGCTTCTACCTTTTGTCCCTAGTTCATTTTAGGGCCAAGCATAACAAGTCTAATATCCTTCCTGAGCCTTGTAATAATGTCTGTAGTGCTAGATGGTTCTAGACATTGTCTTCTACTGTGTTCTGAATTTAGCAGCAGTGTGGGCTTTCCAGGGGTGAACTTGGATGTATGAAATCCAAGGTCTGTTGGACCTATTATATACTAAGCATGTAGGTATTCATTAAAGACTTGTTAGTTAATTCATTGGGAGTGATTTAGCAAAATATGCTGAGACTTTAGAGTATAATTAAATTTCTACAAATAAACCAAACCCTAAGTATCAGTCCTATTTATCAATTAGAAAAATGGATATGTGCCTCAAAATATTGATAAACTATTAAAATCAAATTGTAAAAAATCATTAAGCCAAAATATAAATTATGACATAGCACTCTAGAAGTCATTTAGTTTTTTTCACTTCTAAACCTTTTTACTTTTCTGCCTTGAAGACAAATAACTTTATTAAATGTATTTTTCGTGTAACTGATTATATCTCTCTCTAGTGTACAAAAGGCTCGATGGGACAGTTGAATGTTGTAGTAACAACAGCCTCACAGATGTCTGCTTTTCCTACAGTAATAATGTGGACACTCATTTGGTAAGTAGCCCCTTTAGTGGACTGATAAATATCTACCAAAAACAGAAATAGGAAAAACAAAACCTGAGCCAAGCGTTAGAAAAAGCCTAAAATAATGACTGTAACAACGGAAAAACTAATGAAAGGTATAATTGCTAATAGATATGTATATATATAGATATATGGATATATATCTATACATATATATATATATATATATAGAGAGAGAGAGAGAGAGAGATCACCTTCATAAAAATAATACTCTAATGCCTTATTGAAGGAGGCAAGTGACCCTAGCTCCTAGAAAATTTGTCATTAGAGTTCAAACTTTGGCCAAACCCAATAAGCTAAAAAAGGATGCAAGTTCAAATATGGTGAGAGAGTATCCAAGGACCAGCCTGCCTAAATTTAGAGAGGTTCCTCACTAGAAGGCTGTCTGACTACTAGTAATGATTTTTGGTATTTAGCCACAACATCTTATGAAACCATCTGCTGAGGAGGGGTTGTGATCTGCATTGATGGAGGAAATATCCACCTAGGTGAAATCATGGATCTTTGGGAGTGTTTGAAGGATAAAAATTGAATACAGGGGATTAAAATAGAATTTTTATTACTATTCTATTTTTGTCATCCAATATTTATTCAACAATCCAATACTCTTTCCATTATACCATATTTTAACAACAAATCCAACATTTTCATGTTTGGCTTTTTTGTGTGTGTCAGAGACAAAATGAATCTTCAAAAGCATCATAAAATCACAGAAAATTAGAGCTGTAAGGGACCTTGGAGGTCATCTAATCCATCTCCTATTTGAAATCTGAATCCCTTTGAAATACAGAAATAGTTTGTCTGGGCAGTTTCAGCAGTTGAAAGTGTTCTATTAGGGGAGTTCACAAACCTCAACATCCAAAGTTTCAAATCAGTGTTGAATTTGGCAAAATGATTTAGACTCACTAACCTCATTATATTCACTTAACTTCTGTTGTTTAGAAGCAGTTTTTTTTTCTTAAAATCACCACTGATGACTTAAAGTCCTCATTCATTGCTTTTAATCAGATAATAATTTTGAGGTTCAAGGCACCAGAAACAAATGCCTTTGGCCATCGGAGGCTTTAATGTTAACAGATTCCAGTGCCTCAGAGCAGAGGTGTCCTGAGGCAACACTCTCAAGTGGGCTGGAACCAGATTAAAATGTGATTAATTGACAAAATAAATTTAAAATACAGTAAAACATAGATAATGTTAATATATGGTTTTCTAAGTTAATATATAGCCCAGATGGGTCCATATGTGCAGTTTAATGACCCATTTCTATTTGAGTTTGACACCACTGCCTTAGAAGACCTGAATAAATAAGCCAACCAGGTCTAGAACTAGACTGTGGTCCTGGGGACTCTGGATAACCAGTGTACCAAAAGACAGCAGGCTGACTGATCGTAGTCAGAAATTACAAGTTCTTCCAGCTCCCTGGCCCCATGTTTGTAAAAATATATTCCTGTGTAAAATGTAATATGCTGCATAAGATAAGATTAGAAAGGTAAGGAATGGAAAAGGTCCAAGCTTCTATCCCCTCCATTGATGCAAAATACAGCATGATTTAGTACCTACTCTTTTTTTTTGGTTTGTTTTTTGTTTTTTAGTACCTACTCTTTCTGAATTGTTGTGGCTGAAAACTTTGATCACCTTCTGGTGATAAATCTCAGAACTTAACTAAGCCAGTACTAGTTTGACAGATACAGTGTTCTCTGCTAAGTCCACAGTCAGAGTCTTTCCAACTTGGTAAGGCTTCACTTGTGCTTCCTGGCACATCCCCTTTGTTTACACAAGGTCACCATCATACCATAATAAGGCATCAGATGAGGATTTTAGTGGAAAAAAGAACTTTTTTTTTTTAGGGACTTAGTTTCCTGCATTCCTATAATCTCTTTCATACCTCTCAGTGTCATTGATTCAGTAGCAATTAGAGGAAGACATACCCATTTGTTTTACTGGAATGATTTGTATTAAGACCAAACTTCTTGCCCTCTCAAGTCAGAACTTCAGAGCTGCAATCCCTTTGTTTAATTCCCTCATTTGACAGATAAATGAACTGATACCAAGAGGGAAAAAGTACTTGCTTATTGTAGTTCTGTCTTAAATAAGGAGAGTTCCCATAATTAGATGAATAATGGTAGCATTCTGTTTATATGAAATGTTTCCCTTATAGCAACTGAAGCATTTAGATTAAAGCAGTTATGGTGTAAAAGGAATTACTAAATGTGTAAATAGCACCACCAAAACAAGGTGAATTGCTCAGATATGAAGAATGAAAGATATCTTAAGTGGTAAAATGGTACCTTCACTGTACTAAAAGAACCTGAAGAAGACTTCCCATGTGTTGGATAGTACCTCTATGGAAGTCAGAGAATAAAAAAACTGAAAAAGTGCCTAGATCTATGAAATCATAGGTCTTTAAAAGCAGGAGTTCTTAACCTGGAGGTCCACAGGCCCCAAGGAGTCAATAGATAGATATCAGGTGGTCTGTGAACTTGAATGAGCACAAAAAATTACATCTTTATTTTCATTAATCTTTTATTGAAATGTATTCCTTCAATTGTGAATTTTTTAAAGTTATTCTAAGAAAAGGGTCCATGGCTTTACCAGAATACAAAGGGGTCCATGACAAAATAAACTTGAATCAAAATAAGAGATGTGCTGTATCGTCTTGTATGAGAGAATTTAACTTGCTACATTTTTCCTGAAAATAAATCACTTTTGTTTTTATAAGGAGACATAATTGGCATGGTTATGACTCATACCTATGATCTAATGCTTTTGATTTTATGACTAATTAAAAATGTATTTCTAGTATGCCTGTCTGCCAGCCCGGAAAACAATTGAAGCTAATCAAGTGTGTAGAAGTAATGCAGATTGTCAAAAGGACTTTATTTCAAGTTTATGTGTAATACCGTCTTTGGAAAATCAAACTCGATTAATAAGAGTGAAACACTCACCTCAGATTGATATGCTGTTTGTAGGACATCCACTGCACCTTCAGTACACAGGTTAGTAATTCTGTTAGGATCTTGGAGAATACCTGAAATACCAAATACACTTGGAAAATTTTTTCCACTGATTCTATTCTAAGGTGAACAGTTTTTTTGGGTTTTTTTTCAGAGGCTTCTCTGAGAATGTGCTCAAAGCAAGCCAAATTAAATCTAGGTGAGCAAACCAAAAGTGTTCTTAGAATGCTTGCCTGGCCATTCTTCTCTGAATCTCTCAATGGTATATAATAGTGAAGAGAAGCGTAAGATCTTTCTTTTCCCACCAGCTGTAGCTCTCCTATATGTCCACTTCAAATATTGAGTCTTTTGTGTTAGCTGTCAGTGTGGGACAGCCACCAGCTCATCTATTTCCCCTGGTACCGCTGAGAGCCACTTAAGGAACTAGTACGTGGACCAAGGTGACACTGTCAGAAACAATATGTCTCAGAAGAAATTTATACTAAATTAATACTAGGGAATTTTGGAAGGGAGGCACTAGCTGCAGTGCTTTCAGGATAGGCCTTACAGTGTTTGAGCTCAGCTTTAAAGGGGATTTTAAGAGGCAGAGGTGTGGCAGGATTGCATTAGTAGCATAGAGGAGAGTTTTTGCAAAATCGTGAAGCTAGGGCATCCTCAACTGAGGAAGGAAAACTGTTAAGAATGAAATTCTGAAGACACAAAGGAAAACCATTCTGAGGTGGAGGAAAAGGGAGAGCTGTCCAAAGAGACCCCTGCATATATATAGGGAACTCAGCCAACAATTTAGATTTAAAGATGTAAATTTAGACATGGCTCCATTTCCTTACTTTTCACACATAGCAGCTCATAGGATCATAGCTTTGGAACTAGAAGGATCTTTGACGTTGCCTACTCCAACACCATTTTTACAGATGAAGTAAATGAGACTCAAAGAATTAAGTGACTTATTCAAGGTCACGTGGAAAGTGACAGAGCCAGGATTTGAATCAAGTCTTTTGATTCTGAATCTATTTCTTTTTCTGCTATTTTTAAGAAAATTCTTTGGTAACTTCCAGCTTTAATACCTTTAGAAAAGCCGAAAGGCAGACCTGCTTTTTCTTGCATCCATCCCTCTTATGTATCATGATCAGAGCTGTGGTTTGTTTATTTACTAAGTTATGTTCTATCGGTGTCATTTGTCCTTACTTCACAGTAGTTTCTGGAATAAAAATCTTTCTCCTATGCAGATCAACTCCTCCGTTGCCCCATAGAAAAATCAACAAAGAAACCAGTTATAGTGACTCCATTTGTATGTAATATTCTGACTTGGTAGTCTCCTGTCTGTCTGCTGTGGGGAAAGAGACATTTTTCATTTTCCCTCCTCTGTTATTGGTTTTCCATTTACTTAGTCCTGCTTTTTGAGAGTGATCTTTTTATTTACATTATTGTAATCCTTCTATATATTGTTTTTTTGATTTGCTTTTATTCACTCTGTAGCATTTTCTCTATTATTTTTCCATATTTCTTTGAATTCCTCATATTCATCATTTTACTACACAATAATATTCAGTAGCATTCATATACCATAGTTTTGAGTAGTTTTTTTTTTAGCCTTTCCCCAAAGATCATCTACCTTGTTTCCAGTTCTTTAGAACCAAAAAGAATGGCATATGTCAGACTTTTGGTTCTGTCTTTGACATCCTTGAGGAAGTCCCAGTGGCACTACTTGGATCAGAAATTATGGATGGTTTCAGAGCTTTGTTTTAAGAAGATTAATTTAGTAGTAGAGTTCTTAACTACTTTCAGTCTGCATTCCAACCCCACCACTCAATAAAATTTCTTTCCAAGATTGCCAGTGATTTCTTAACTGCTGAATCTAGTGTGTCCTCTTATAAAACTTCATTATACTCAGCTTCTCTGCAGCTTTTGGACATTCTTCTCCTCTTGGGCATGCTCTCCTCCCTTATATTCTGTGATACTGCCTTCTCTTGATTCTATTCCTTGATAACTACAACTTCTCAGTCTCCTTTGCAGGCTCATTATCCATCTCCTATCCATTAAGCATGGGATACCTCACGGCTCCTTCCTGAACTCATTTCTTGTGGTTTTCTACCTTTTCGGTAATCTCACCAGCTCTCATCAGCTAAGTTACTAGTTCTGTGCAGATGATTCCCAAATCTATATGCCTAACCCTGACCTCTCTTGTGAACCCCACTTCTGTATCACCGACTATTGTTGGGTATATCCCTTTGGAAGCATGTTAAACCGAGCATGTCTAAAATGGAACTCAAAATGATCCAGAGCATGAAGGGTAGCTAACACAGTGAGACAGTATCCAAATAGATCATAGTAGGCTTACAACATTGGATGAATCAAATAGATGTAATTCAATAGCGATCTTACTAAATCTTATATTTGGGTTAAAAAAATCAACTTCGTAAGTATAAGTCATGGGAGGCATTATTTGATAGCAGTTTGAATAATATCTGGTGGTTTCAGTGATCAGGAAGTTCAGCATGAGTCAGTCAGCATTGCAGTGTGACAGCCAAGAAAGCCCATGAAGTTTGGGGCTGCATTAAGAGAGCTATAGCTTCCAGAAACAAGGTGATCCATCGCTCCATACTCTGTCTGTGTCAGACTTCATCTGGAGTACTGTTTTCAGTTTGGGACACCACAGTTTAAGAAAGATATTACTTAGCTAAAATGTTCAGAGGTGGCCAAGCAGAATGGTATTGGTCTGAGTTCATAAAATGAGTATTAGTTGAAGGAACTAGGGAGATTTAGCCTGAAGAAGAGATGATATTGATGAGATATGATAACTGTCATCAAGCATTTGGAGGGCTGTTATGTGAAATAATGATTATTACATTTATTCTGTTTGACTCCACTGGGAGAATCTGGAATAATACATGGAAGTTACAAACGTTTGAGGAAAAACATTTCCTAACAATTCAAGTTGCCTTGAAGTGGAAGGACTTCTTTATTAGTAGGTTCCCTGTCTTTGGAAGTCTTTTTTTTTTAAATTTATTTATTTTGATTTATCAGCAGTCACTTCCATAAGTTTTTGAATTTTAAATTTTTCTCCTCCTCCCTCCCCAAGATGGCTCACAATGCAATATAGGATATACATATACATTCCTAACATATTTTCACATTAGTGATGTTGTAAGGAAGAATTAAAACCAATAGGAGGAACCATTGGAAAGAGGAAACAAAACAAAACAGAAGGAAAAAAAAGTAGGAAATAGTGTGCTTTGATCTGCATTCAAACTCCATAGTTCTTTCTATGCATGTGGATAGCATTTTCCATCATGAGAACTTTGGGAGATGTCTTAGATCCTTGTATTGCTAAGAAGGGCTAAGTCTACCAATGTTAGTCATCGTACAACATGGCTGTTACTGTGTACAATATTCTCCTGGTTCTGCTCACTTTACTCAGCATCAGTCCAGGTTTTTCTGAAGTCTGCCTGCTCATCATTTCTTATAGCACAATAGTATTCCATGACATTCATATACCACAACTTGTTCAGCCATTCCCCAGTTGATGGGCATCCCCTCAATTTCTTTGCCACCACAGAAAGAGCGGCTATAAATATTTTTGTACATGTGGATCCTTTTCCCATTTGTATGATCTCTTTGGAATACAGCCCTAGAAGTGCTATTGCCGGGTCAAAAGCTTTGGAGGTCTTAAAGCAAAGGTTGGATGACCAGATTGTTACAGGGAGAATTCCTTTTCAAATGTAAATTGGACTAGATGGTCACTGAAGCCTGTTCCAACTCTGACATTTAATTTTGTGATTCATTATATTTCCTTGAAACCCGTCCTTCCTCCAGTTTTCTCTGTTTCATGGTGGTCTCCATGGTAGGGCTCATGACTTGACACCATGGAATGTAAGGAGGAGTCTCATCCCACTCTTCTCAAAATGGGCAATCATCGGACTTGTCTCCAACACAACCAACTCCTTTGTCAACTATTCAAGCTCCCAACTCCTCACCCCAACGTTAGGCATTGGCCCTTTAGGGCAAGTATAACTTATTGCTCAGGAAGCCACAGCCGCAGCTGTGTGACATTGGAACATTTAAAAACTCCACATGCACATCCTCCAAAACATACCCACCCCACCTCTGCCCCCTGGATCACCTCATGACTGTCTTAAATAAGGCCCTCTGGGCAAAAACCAGTGAGGAAGAAAGAGTCCTGCGTCTCCTTCCTTTTCATTTCTTCTGTGGAATAAAGTGAGTCACTCAGGATGAGCCAGACACAGATCCGTTGTAATCTACATTATCTGTCTCATGACCTTATCTTTATTCCCAAACCTGCCCCTTGATCAAATTTTCCTATTACTCTTCAGGGCACTACAGTTTTTCCATTCCTCAGGTTCACAACAACTTCAGTGTCATTTTAACTTCTCACTCTCCCTTACCCCAGAGAGTCAGTCACTTGGCAAATTTGTCATTTGTATGTCTTGTGTATATATATCTCCTTCTCTCTACTCATACACTACCCATTGCCTCACACCTGGACTGTACTGTAGCCTTTTTTTAAAAAAAAAATTGTATTTATGTCATTAAATATTTTCCAATTACATGCAGAAAAATCTTTTACATTTATTTTTTAAAATTGAGTTCCAAATTCTCTCCCCCTTCCTTGAGAAGACAAGCAATTCGACATCAGTTATATATGTGAAGTCAAGTAAAACATTTATTAGCCATGTTACAAAAGAAAACGAAAAAAAAAATAAAGTAAAAAAAAATACTGTAATCTGCATTCAGAATTCATCAGTTCTTTCTCTGAAAATGGATAACATTTTTCATCATGAGTCTTTTGGAATTGTCTTGGATCATTGACTTGATCAGAGTAGCCGAGTCTTTCATAGTTGATCATCTCTACAATATTGCTGTTACTATGTATGTGTTCTCCTGGTTCTATGCTATAACCTTCTAATGGAGCTCCCTCCTTATATTCTCTCCCCTTCTCTAATCCACCTTTCACATAGCACCCAAATAAATAATTCTAAGACACTTGTCTGACCATGTCAGTCCCATGCTCAAAATCTTCAGTGGCTGTTTTTTGTATCTAGGATCAAATACAAACTCCTCAGGCTAGCATTTAAAGGACTCCACAGGCTGGTTCCTGCTTTTATAGACATTTCATATTATTCCCCTTCATTCACTCCGTGTTATTATTCTAGACCAACTATCAACATGTCATCTCCCATCTCTGTTCCCACACTTTGGAAATGTATTTCCTTCTCATCATTTCCTCTTAGAATCCCTATCTTTCTTCAAGCTTAACTCTTTAATCAGCTTAACTGATGCTTTCTACCCAATGGGGTAGCTAGTCAAGAAGACTCATTTTCCAGAGTTCAGACCTGGCCTCAAACACTTAGTAGCTGTGTGACCCTGAGCAAGTCACTTAACCCTGTTTGCCTCAATTACTTCATCTGTACAATGAGCCAGAGAAGGAAATAGCAAAGCATTCCAGTATCTTTCCAAGAAAACCCCAAATGGGGTCATGAAGAGTTGGACCTGACTGAAACAACTGAATATCCACCCAAAGCCCATCTCCCTCCTGAAATTACTTTGTATTTACTTGTCTACTTAAGTGTTGTATCTCCCTCCCAGTAAAAATATAAACTCCTTGAAGGCAGAGATTTTTAGTTTTGTCTTTGTGTCTCTGGCACCTAATACAAGACCTTGACCATGCTTAAAAAATATGTGTTGAATTGGGTTACATTTTTTTAAAGACGTGTACAGAAAATGGAAGCCAGGGCAGGTAAGGGAGTATGAACGTATAAGAATAGTATGGTCCTTTAAGAATAGTATTGAGAGCTAAGTCTTAGAATGATCTGGGCCTGTTGTGGAAAGCTAAAGACGAGATGTAGCCATTTTAAAGGGGGTAACACTCATTTTTGGTGTCTGGTTTCTGGTATTTTTTTTTTATCACATTCAGGATATACTCAGCTTTACCCCATTTCCCACCTTAAATAGGAGTGTATGTTCCGAATTACACTCTGTGTTCTACTACTATATATTAGCCCAAAGCAGCACCCCAAGAAACAGTGGGATTCTGTCCTTTTTTCCTATTTCTCTTGAAGTACCTAACCTTCCTAGGTAAATTTGAGGACAAACTTCCTTTGGTATTATATTTTTGCCAGTCTCTGATTGGGAGATTGGAGAATCCTAATCAACTTTGGATAAATGTATATATCACTAAATATATACTATCTGTTGACTCATGAATAATATTTGTCATCACTACTTTTTTTCTTTTAGTGAGCCTCAGCAGTTTCATCCCACGGTTCAACTTTCTAAGCGTTGATCTACCTGTGGTAATAGAGACATTTTTCAAGTATCCTTTCAAGTGTGTAAGTAACTTTATACAAAAGGTTTGTATGAAAAATGTGTTGCTTAGAGTCTGAACACAGAGTGATTAGGCAGCAGGGCATAGGTCCAATAACCCTCTTTGGATTTGAGTCCCAATTGTATCACTTAAAATCTGTGTCATAAGGCAAGTCATGTAACTTTTATGAACCTGTTTGCTTCTATGTAAAGTGGGCAGAGTAATACTGGCCTTCCTCACAAGGATCAGCTGAGATCATGTGTGTTTAGATGCTACATAAATATAAGTTTTTATCCATAAAATAGATGAAGACCTGACAGGAATCTCTATGCCAAAGGAAGTCATTTTAAAACTGGAGTGCTTGAATAGAAGACAGGGAACAAGATTTGGGAGAAAAATAAAAGATAAAATATTCTGGAGAATGTATAGAAGCCACATTAGAGTCAGATGGGTGAATCTGAAACCTTTGGATTTATTTGGCTTATGTCTGGTTACTGGAGACAGGTAAAGCATCTGAGTTGTTAATGAAGGCAGAAATATGCTTTCTGCCCCCATTTGGGCCAGTTCATTTGGTTTGGTTTGGTTTTTTTTATCATGGCTACAGACTGTTGCAAACACAGTTAGTTCTTTGTCTAATCTGTGCCGTTAAGGGGGAGCAGCATGCTTCTAAAGAAGAGCAATAGAGAATGTAAGTGGAATAGCATTGATCTGTTGTCACTGCACTCTCTCCAATGACATGGCATATCAGTAATGTCTTTATATGTGAAAGACCAGGGTGGAGGGCAGGAATGAATGCGATAACCAGGTTTTAATAAGCTAGATGGTTAAGTAGAACATATTTTGAACACATTTGTTTGTATTGGTTTTCTACTTTCCTGTGTTTCTTACTTTAAAGGTTTAACAGAGAAAGAAAAGGGAAAAGGCTATATAAGTAGTTAATTCAAAAGGTACCATAAGGACTATGCCATATATCCTGTAATCTTTATTTGTATGGCTGCTATTGTCTTAGGAGAGAATTATCCCTCTACACCCTGCCTCTAAGAAGTTACATTGACTAATGTTCAAGAAACAAAAACTTTCATTTGTCCTATCACATAACGTACACAAGGTCTAAAAGTAATTATTTTCCACTTCCTCTCCCTCCCCAACTATTTTCCTTTTTGTATTATTATAGTCAGAATTATACAGGCTAATGACAAAGGAAGATATGTTTTCTTCTTTCATTAACTATGTCTTTAAGCTAATTAGACCTAAAAATATGTTCATTTGATTGTCAAAAAAAGTCATAGCCTCTTCTGTATTGCAAAAGCTTAGGAAAAGGAATGATTTCAATTTTAAATGGGAAAGACCACTGTAGTCTTATATTCAATGTGTTGAAATTTTTCCCTCAGTTGTTTAAGTGTGGTTTTCAATGGTATACACATTGTTCGTCCCTTTATTGTTTATTCTGCTTAACTACATATAATCAGATACCTAATTTCACTCTCAGGAGCACTGGCTGTCATCAATGCTGTACCCTGCTTTGCTTTAGATGGACAATGGATGTTAAACTCTTTTCTTGAAGCTACCCTTAGTTCACTGATCATAGACAAGCAAAATAGAGATTTGCTAGGATTTTTAATTTTACTTGCTGGTAGTACACTTTTGGCTGCCAATGTGGCCCTGGGACTCTGGATGGTGACAGCCCGATAATATATATATATCTGGACTCATTTGACAAAATCTGTGAGTTGTTACAATGTGCCAAAAAAAAACAACATAACATTTGTTGCTGATTAAAAAAAAACTTTGCTTGGTTTGAAATATAAATAACTTCCTTAAAGCTATCTTAATCAGCACCATTTAATGAGATCCTTCTAAATCTAGAGGTCTGTACTAGGTATTCTCCACAATACCTTTTGTTACCCCACTAACAAAAGAAATAAGAAAGACCTGATCTCTGACCTCAAAGGATTTCAGTCTGTCCGTGACAACATTTGTACATTAATTTGGACTTTATAAGTTCATCTGTAAAAAATATTTGTCATGTCATATCTAAGCAGTATGTTACCTTAGGGTAAGGGAATGAATAGAGGTGAAGAGGTGAATTTATATTAGGTTTTGAAGGAAGCAAGAGATATTCTGTGGCCACACTGAAAAGGTGAGAATTTCCTAGGCTGGTCACAATTGAATCAAAACATCTTTGGTCTGTGATGTTTTTAATTTAGTGCTGGATTATTTGTCACAGAGGAAACTTGGGTAATAGAGAAAGGTCTAGCCTCTGAGTGAAGAAGACTTGGGTGCAAATCCTGAATCTACCATATAACTGGCTTTGTGACCGTAGACAAGACAATGTCTTCATGCCCTACACAGTGTGCTAAGACTGTAAGTTGCAGAATTGTTACTGATTAACGTTGGTACAGGGAGTTTTCCTCAACATAAGTTCCCTACATCTACCGATCCAGACCAAAAATTATGTTTCTTTAGAGCAGCTCTAATTAAACATTGTTCTCTTGATAACATTTTGTTTACATAGATATGGTGTTAAATTTCTGTGAATTATTCAGGGACGTGTGTATGTATGTGTATGTGTGTGTGTGTGTGTGTGTGTTTAAATTAATGACATAAAAAGAAATAAAAATCTAGACATTATTTTTCAAGCCCTGTGTCTCCAAATATGCTTGGAGAATAAAAAAAGTAGAAGCTGAGACCTACCATAACATGAGGTTTGTTTTTTAACACTTTGTAACAACAGTTGATTCTTGAATAAGATATTACCTTGTCTTTAAAAAGCAGCCTTAATGGTGAGTTTAGTTGTGAGCTTCAGACAAGGATCTTTGCCTTGTATAACATTCTGTCAGTCTACCTTGATAGTGTTTTTAAACCTAAAAATCACAGTATAGGTATAGGTATTAGTTTATGGGCACCATGTTCTTTCAGGGCTCTTACTGTCCTGTGCTTGGCAAGTTAGGCTAGAATCTGTCTTTCCTCTAGAATAATGGCATTTGTGGCTGTTTCAGTTAGTCCTAGCCCTGATGTCAGAGTTATACAGCAGGGGCTACTTTTCAGGGGAGGCAGCTAAGTGAGAAGTAGAAATACAGGAATAGTATCCCATTCCAGCCCAAACAGATCCTTGAGTTTGATGTCAAAGAAAAGTCAAAGGCTAGATGAGATTGGGTCTTATGACCTTATTATGGCTAAATATCAGTATGACTCAGCTGAAACATTCTGGAAATAAGTGGTCTCACAGCTACTAGGCCTTAGGAAAGGATTATCTATTCTTCCAGGTAGAGGGGAGGTTGATTAGCCACTTGGGAAGAGTTCTTTGAATCCACTCCTCCCCTAGACACTACAGTGTGACCATTTGTCACAATACATGTATAGAATGAATCTCCTTAAGTATTCTGTTTCCAAATAATTACAAAATAAAAGTAATCCAAATAATTACAGAATTCCTGAGGAAAAGGGTTCTAATTGTTCAAGACAACCTGCTATTTGCAGTTTCTCTTATCTTTTGAGTCCTTCCTTTGGCCTGGTCAGCTTATGTGAAGCCCTTAACAACTGCAGGCTCTTCTCTCAGTTCGTAATTCTCCCTTTGAACATAGTTTCCTCCCTATTTTGGCTGCCCTTCTTATCCTTCATTGAGTCACAGTCTGCCCTGTGTCTCATGATATCTTTTCTTCCTTCCCTTTGGATTTCATATACATACCTCTGATATTTGGAGAGATAGCTAAGGAAGAGATGGACTCCATTATTAGACCAATTTTTTTTGATCTATCACAAGACAAACTAGGGGTTCTGATGTCTTTTGTTTACAGTGATTTTTGAGCTTAGAGGCATTTCTCAGAAGACGTTAAAAACCATTTCCACTTTAGATTTACAGCTCTCTGGTTTCTTTTTTGGGATCTCCTGGATGGACTCTGGCTCAAAATTACCCAACCTGACTTAGACTATACAGAACTGGACAACCACCTGGGGAATCTGAGAATGGCCTTTTTAGCAGACTGAGGTAAACATTTTTTGCCTGGAAATAACTAAAGAATGCTTTTAAGGAGGTTAATGCAAATTCAAAATCAAGCATGTAAGTGTTATGTGAACAATGGTCAGCCTCTTGAGATCCTCATAGAGTCCATAGGTATAGGAGGCTTAAGCTAAAGTGGGTATTATATGTAAGTACAGTCTTTTATGGAGTCCTGGAAGTCTGTCTTTTAATGAAACAACCACATTAGTTCTATTATTTCAATAGGGAATAATTATGGAAAGTTTCCCAAGACCTCCAAGATACCATAAAATGCAAGGAAAAGAATTGTGTGTCAAAGGATCCTGGATAAACTAGAGGACTAGAGAAATAAGGTTTTTCTATTTCAGATAAATGCAATGATGATGACTTCTCACAGTTATTGAGAATGAAATCATAGAAGACAATTATGTGCAGTCTTAGAAAAACATCCCTTGATGCCACTTTGAGAAACGGAAAACTAGAAAGAGATCATTGCCTTGTCTATAATATGGAATTTGTTTTATTAGATGCATTCACTAGCAAAGTGTGTAAAGGGTGGTATTAGATAGAAATATGTGTAAGATGATCAGAATTAAAGAGGGATTTATGGAGTCGGAAAACATGCTTCTGTGTTTAAAATGTCAAAATGTACCATTGAATAGTCACTGTGCAAAAGTTATGTAAGTTGTAGTTTTCATATTGCTTCTCTTTCATATGGGATATTATCAATTTTTAATTGCTTAGCATGATTAGAAAATTGGATTCTTTTAGGGATAAAGAAAATTGTTTTTGTGCTGCCATTTAATTTAAGCAGGGAAACCTTATTTTCCAACTCTGTAGTGGCCTAACTATGGTGCCATATTTATATTTTTTCTTTTTTTCCTTAGAGATGTTATATAGAGAATTTGTTTTCTGTAAAGGAATTTGCAAAACATATAGCATTTTACTTTTTTGGTCATATGTCTATAGAGATCATTACCTTATTCCAACCTGAAATATGTGAATATATTTCTTGTCAACTTGTTGGGCTCAATCACACTCATCAAATTGCATGTATTAAATGTCCACATGTAAGTGATGCATAAGTATTTTTTTCCCTAAAAAGCCCTTTGACCATACTATATTAGATGTACAATGAATTCTTTTGGGGGGGGGATGGAAGGTGGAAGATACCTCCAGGCAAGGTGACGTATGCCTATATTCCCTACTGCTGGAAGAGGCAATTCTGAGCTGTAGCAGAGCCAAAGACAATCAGGTGTCTGCACTAAATCCAGTACCAATATGATTAGCCCCTGGGAGAAGGGGACTAGTAGGCTGCCTAAGCAGGGTCTAACTGGCTCGGGTCAGAAACAGAGTAGGTCAAAGTTTGCATACTGATTAGTAGTGAGATTAACCCATCAGTGGCTGCTAAACTTCCAGCCTAGGCAAAATAAGGGGACCCAGGCTCGCCTCCTTCCCCAAAAAAAGTTATGCTTCAACTTGAAGACAACTTAATTGCTGGCAACTGATGTTAATAAATAACAACATGGAACCATATTTTGTACTTTATACTGACTTGATTCCATTTCTTTCTGATCATATATATAAAATAACTCTCCTCTGCTGATTGAATAATATCTTAATTGTCTGTAATCTTTTCATATTTTTGTCTAAAATGAAGCCACTCCTACTGAAAACAATCACTGGTTCTCTGTCAATTTCAGACATTTTGGTTATTGGTGCAAACTCTGAGGCCTGTTCTAGATTCTCTTCCTTTGCAATAACTACTTTTATTCCTATGGTTATGTATTTAACCTTTGGATAAAGCAGAGTGCTTTATTTGTACATAACAAAATAAAAATAATTTTAAAAAATTTTAATTAAATCAGTTTTTTAATCTTTCAGTTTTTAGAGGTTTAGAGGAAAGAAATTTTAGCTATTAGTTGTATGTTGTATCAAGTTCTTAAACCTCCTTATCTAAGATTTCTTTCAAAAACTTTTCCACCCAAGCTCTGGCTGTATTTCATAAAGCCAAGTTAGCTGCAGTTATCAAAACAAGTTAGGAACAGCTGTCATTTTACTTTGTGCAAATGGGACCATTGCCAGGGGAGTTTTCATGCCTGAATTGTTTCACCTTATAATAACAGATTCTGTTCTCCCTGCTCTAGATAAACCCTTTTATATTCCTGAGCTCTTTTCAAGCTTGAGTTCTATATTTATGATGAACAGTAGAAGGAATAGGACTTCTCTAGTATGAGAAGGTTAAACTAGAAGGAAAATCAAAATGTAATTTCTAGTACTCAGGTTTATATTCCATCTTGCTTGGGTTAAGTAGGAAGTGTTTTATTCCTGGACTACTGGTCTGCTGCTGAATTGAATAAATTCATCATTTCAAAAGAATGGAGAAAATTAAATAGCTATATAGTTACATTTTATTTAAGAGACAATAAACCTATTTTATCTATGTATGTAAAATATTTATTTTGCTTCTGGGGCTTCACTGATTTGAATGATCCATTGTATATTTTATCAGAGTATGGCAAATGAATTCAATGAAAGGAAAACCTCTATTTCTGACCTTATTAATGGTACAATAGGTTGTACTTCTTAGGTTGGAGATAGAGAAAAATGGATCCAGGAAGCTGCAACTCTAATTACCCAAGTTCACCATTGTATGTATGATTTACTTTAGTATTAAAGGGGGAAAACGCCTTTATTTCATAACTCTGAGTTTCAGGAGATGATGAACGTTCTGTAAGTTTCATCTTCTGCTGAGCTCGTTTGGTTCAACAGAATAAGTTGTGAAATATTTGCAAGTATTACTTTGTCTTAGAAATAGTTTTTGGCTAACTACTTTATGTGGAATGGGTAGAGTAGACTTTTTCTTTTTTTAAAAAAAAATTACACTGATACTTCTTGCTTTTATATCATATTCATTGCCTTTAAAAAAAAAAACTTAGTTCAATTTCATTTTTGTTCCCATCACATTGATTTTCAAATATATAATTCCCTATCAGGCCTTCCCTTATATTCTAAAGTACCATAAACAATTTAATTTAATGGAAGAAGGAAATAGGCACTTATTAAGTACATACTGTGTGCTAGACATTGTGCTAAGCACTTTACAAATATTTAATTTAATCCTCATAACATCCCTGAGAGGTAGGTGCTATTATCCCAATTTTACAGTTGATGAAACTGATGAAGACAAAGGTTAAGTGACTTGCATAGGGTCATATAGCTAATAAGTGTCTAAGGTCAGATTTGAATTCAGGCCTTTTTGACTCCAGGCCTACTGCTCTACCCATTGTGCCACCTAGCTGCCTCATCACTGTAATCGGTGAATACTTGATTTTGGTTTTTATTAAAATTCTCATTTGTGTGTAGCCTGATTTATTTTGACTCCAGCATTTTTAAGGCTCTGAGTCAGCACTTGCCTGTGTTACCCTTTCAACAAACATTAATTTATTTATGTTATTATTAATATATCATAATATTATTATTATTATTATTATTATGTACACTAGGGATACAAGATTTTTAAAAATCCCTCCCACACAGAGCTTACAACCTTCTCTGTGGAAAGTCATGCAATATGTTCAGAAATACAATTCAAGATAGAATGTGATAGGATAAAGAAGAAAGCCAGACAAAGGACCCTGGGAATATTGAAGAATATGGAAAGATGAGAGAAAGCTCTTGGATAAGATAATGCTTAAACTGTTTCCAGACTTGGGTTCTGAAACCATTTGTTCCTCATGGACAAACTATGACATGATCCAAATCCAAAAGCATGTAGCCTGTGGAATATTGTAACTGAAACTTTATTGAGAGGGCAAAATTCCTTGTCTAGGCCGAGCACGTGTTGCCAAAGTGGACCTCTGTGCTGTTCTAAATAACTAATCATTGAGATTGGAAATACTGTGGCAGGTTTTCTCCTTCATCTATGGGAGACCTACATGGAAACAAGAAAAAATGAAATTGAACTCTGTAAATTTTTAGTTTTGTGGGAATTCTCAAAAGAAGAGAGATATTTTCGTATAACAGAAGTAAAAATACTAAAAATGTGAACAGCGAAGAAAAGGAACCAGGTTGCTTATTGGCAAACCAAAAAATACACACTATAGTTAAAAATTAAAACAAGTATCTTTGGAAAAAAAGTCAAAAGGAATAAATGAAAGAAGTCAATGATCAGTGTGCTAATGCAGCAGTTTCTAACATGTTAAAACTTTCTCAGGATGATTAACCATTGATGGGGGAGAAGGGACGTGGCCCAGAATAAAATGACTAGAAAGGTTCTGCCTAGTACTTTAGATTTTGCATTTGAACAAGAGTAGGCAAGCAAAGAAAAATCTCACCATGAGAATTTAGGTACCAAATATCCCTGTAGCTCAAGTTTTACTTCCTTGTTAAAAGTTGTTCCCTTTAATCCACTGGATTTTTTTTTTTCACTCAGTCAACAAGCATTTGTTAAGAGCTTACTATGTGTAGGCACCGTGCTAAGTGCGTGGCAAGCAAAAAAAGGCAGAAACAGCTCCTGACTTGAAGATCATGTATTCTAATGAGGGAGAGAACATGCTTAAAAAGTAAATAAATAAATAAACTAAGTGCGTACAAGATAATACAGGATCAAAGGAGGTGAATCTGAGAAATCAGGGCACTAGCAGCTGTGGGGACAGGGAAAAGGCCTCTTGTAAAATGTGGGACTTGAGGTGAGTCTTGAAGGAATCTAGGGAAAAGAAGATTCCAAGGTGAAGAGGCAGAGCGTTCCAGGTATGGAGGATAGCCAGTGCAGAAGCACAAAGACAGGCAATGTAATCACTTTTTTTTTTTTGGACCTTTGCCTTATTCCCACTAGGAGTTTGCTCTCCAGAGCTAATTAAATCAGTTCCTTTCTTTAAGGAATTTTTTAATGAGTTACGGTGAATTAATTTGTTACTGAGTATTTGCATTTTTTCCTGTTTTCTCCCATTGCCATAACTTTTCTTATTTCCACAGTCCTTTCTTCCACAGTTCAGTCTCTTCCATGCCCTCCTTGGAAGCTCTTATTTTATTATAGGGGGTATTTTGTATATGTTTAACCTTAATGTTAGGTCTAAGTATTATTATCTAACAAAAACAACAGTATACTCACAGTTCATACTTAACAGATCTAACAATTCTAGTTTTGAGGTTTTTCTGTGCAATTAATTCATTTTTCTCTCTGTAAAGCACCTAGAAATACATGGATTCTTCCCATCATGCTTGGCAATGAAGTTTAAATCTTTTAACATATGTATGTTAACATTATTGTTGGCTCAGTAATAACTTTCCCCCGTAAAGAAACCTTAAATACTGCATATGGAAGAATATAATATATGGTATTTTAAAATATATAGGACATTTGAACAGTTTTCTCTTCAGCCACATTTCATTGCAGTACACTTGACATCATTTCCAAAAATATTGGATGTTTTATCCTCAATTATATATGTGTGTATACATATATCTATATCATTAAATATGTATATAATTTCAGTGTTTTTAATTGAAAAATCTACTTATTGCTTATGCTTTGTAATTTTAATACCTTTCTCTGTGGATTGTCTACCATTCAATCTTAAATGTAAAAAATCTATGACCGGATGTTTCTCCAAGTTTTAAAATAAGTGTGTAATCTTTCCCTTCATCTGTTTGGGTACTAAGTGAGTAATTCTGGAATGCTGCATTTCTGGATTAGCCATCCCATACTTGTATTGTTTATTTGTAAGTATCAGAAAGTCTTGCTTTCTGACAATGTTAAAACTGAGAAATTTGAGTATATGTGTTTGAATTGTATTTGTTACGATTCATCTTTGTATTTTTCTACTTATAATAGATTTTCAATCTCAAATGCATTTGGATTTTTATTTCCATTTAACATCTTTGAGACAAAGGTTGCTTATTTTAAAATGTTTTAAACTCACCCAATTCTAATTCCCCCCCAAGAGTTAGTATGTTTATTTTATTGCTTGTACTACTTATCACTACGAAGATTAGGAGCCTTAGAGTATGAACTCCCCCAACGCCTTTCCCCAACTTTTTCAAAACATTCACAGCCTTGTCACTTGGTTCTATTTTCCTGGCCACAGATAAAAGAAGTATACCTTATTCTTCAGTAAGACGGATGCCCTCTGACTAATAAGCCTTCGATGCCATAGCCTCCTACAGCCTCTCGTACCATGCTCTAATCAGTTCTTACTCATCTATCTTCAGTCCCCTCCCTTCCTTTCTGGCAACAGACATGCTTATATATCCTCAATCCTTAAAAAAGCCTCCAACGGACAATTGTGTCTCATCTAGTTAATATCCCACCTTCCTGCCTGTCCTTCCCTTAACTGTTAAACTATTTAGAAAAAGGTTTCTACATCTGACGCCTCCTTTCCAGTACTACCCACTCTTCAACCCTTTGCCATCTGCCTCCCCCCTACTACCACCCCTCTCCTGACACTGCTCTTCCAAAAGTCACGAATGACCTAATCACCAAATCAGGTAATAGTTTTTCAGGCCTCATCGTCCATGACTTCTTTGTAGCTTTTTTACACTGTTGATCACCTCCTCCTCCTGGATGATACTGTCTCTCTTCCTTTGGCTGCAAGCACAACACTGTCCTGGTCCTCTTACCTTGCTCACTGTTCCATCTTTTCCTTATGTTCTTCCTGAGCCATTAATGAGGATGTTTTCCCAAGAGCCCCTCTACTATATCCCCTCTCTTGTCAGTCTCCCTCCCAGTGGCTTCAGCTGCCATTTCTGTGTAGATGACTCCCAGTTCCAGATCCTTGACCTCTCTCCTCAACTCCAGTCCCACATCTCTAACTGCCTGCAGGCCATCTCTACCCAGATGTCCCAGCAGCTTCTGATA